TGTGGGCCCATTGTGCCCTATATTGTAAAAGCAGTAGACGTCAGCCAATTTCAGCGAATGTGTTCCTCTTCTTCAAAAGGGGCTGTGATAGCTTCCCCACCAGCGCGCCTGGGAGTGTTCTTTTTAAATTCAGCACCTGCCTGTGGATCCAAACGGGGGAAAAAAACGGCATTCTGCAACGCAACGTTGTGGGCATAAGTACCCCCCAGCGCTCAATGGTGTGAGGGCAGTCTATGGCTAACATCGTCGGTGCAAGTTATCAAGTGGAGTGTCTTTGCATGCCAAGGAGTCTTTCTTGCACTGGTAGATGGGTACTGGCCAGCATCGCAGCGCAAATGTGGCAGGTGCAAAGTCCCACTTCTTGTGACAAGGAATATCTGGTCACATCACACCACGTCAGTCATCACCTGATTTCCCGACGGCTTGTGCCAACACGAAGGACAAAGAATGATGTTTGGCATCGGAGAATGGTCAGGATAATGGTCGCAACGCATGAGGCACCTGTGGTGGCTGATAGTAGCGCCAAGTAGAGCGACTGGCCAACGTTCACCAAGCCATTTAATCAGTGGGACGACGTTGCGTTTGGCACCCCGCCCAGGGCACCTGGCGGTTTTTATGCTGTCAGGGTACCTGAGGTGTTCACGGATGTTTCCTTTGGCAAGTTTTTTTATGGTGGTTTCTCTTCGGACCGGCCATAATAGTTGTTGCTTTCACGATTCCCTTAAGGACAATCGCTTTTAGGGGCCTTACCTTGATCAGTGCTGTTTGCCTTTCTGGGTGGGGCTTTCAGTGAAGCGCGGTAATTTTTCCTTTTGCATTCTCTGTTTGCAGCTTTTGGTGCTTCAGGGGGTATATGAACACTCGAGACAATACAGCGTTTGAGTGTGGCATCGTACCTACCATCGCCTGCAAGTTTCAAGTTGCTGTGTTTTCCAAATGCTACCAGGAAACATAGCCAATGCATTTCGCCCACGGCGGACGGCACTTCCCATGTCAGCCAACACACTATGTTGAACATGTTTGACGAAGGTTGTTGAGAGGAGCATATTTCAAACTTGGGCATTGCCGTCAGACAGAACGTGGACTAATAATCCCCGGTGTTGCTTCCTTGCCTGAGCTTTATTCTTTCGAAAGGAGAGGCGGAAGTTCAAACACCGTGGTGTGTAGCAACTGATGCCTCATTTTTTCCGCACGACGACCGTCGATCCTGAAGGTGAAAACGAGGGTTGTCTGATACCTATCATTACCGGACCTGTAGGCCATGAAGGGTACTAGGGACCTAAAGCCCTAAAAATCTGAACACCCTAAATACCGGAACCCAAAAGTAACTTTCATGGCTGACACGTTGTTCGCGCTGCCCGTCTGCGCTCGCACACGCTTGCTTCCAGGCACAGGAAGCAACCCCCAAACCAGATCGTGTTACAGAATGACTGTTCCGGTCATGTAGTGTCCGCTGCAAGCGTGTCCAAGTCATGTCCCTCCCCGTCGTTCCCCACTTCACCGTACTTAACACCATATTTAATTCACCATAAGGACTTCATCCTCCACGCAATCACTTATGTGTCTTTTCTCGTCTTCGCAATGACCATCACGACCTTCACATGAACTTCATGACCTCCATTACTTCATTTTCAGAAATGCGAGGTAGCGGACAATTGCGGTGAGAACCAGCGTGCGTGCAAATAACTCCACCGTCCACGTTCTTCCTCACTACACCATGGCATATGCTTGGAGCACTGCGGTCAGGCCTGCAGCCTTTTGTTCTCAATCACGGAGCCCTGACTGCTGTGGGAGGAGCGCCACAGCGCTTGAGCACAGCCTTGCAAGCACCGGCGCTCGCCAGCGAATATGCTCCCATTATGGCGAGGCGTTGTTTGGAATTTCCGAATCGGAATTCCGTCTGTTGCGAGTGTTGGTAATATGCATTAGACGAACAAGCCCTTGCACCTCAGTGGGCGATGGCGGGCAGGGCACCACCCAACCAATGTTGGCTCGCGTTCCATTAGAGCGCCCTGCCCCGCACGATTTGCACAAGGGGGAAAGGGCGGTCAACACCGAAAGAAAGCCAATCACCCCTCAGATCGCTGAATGAGGCAAGAAAAGGGTCGGGATCGCACGGGAGTGAGAGGAATTATCCCTGGCCATCCTCTTTCGCAGGCTGCGCGGCCAAGAACGCGCCACCGTGTTTCTCGCCAAGCCAGTCGCGGGGGGCGCTCGGCTCTGCGATGCTTGGCCGGAACTTCTGTTGAGCTCTCCGAAACCCTCCCGCGACATCACACGCCAGGCGGGTCTCGATTCGAGACAACGCAATAATCCAAGGAGAATCCTAAGGGCTCGAGACTCTCAAATCCTTGGCGAATTCCTTGGATTGTTGCGCTATCGGAATGGCCATGACAATCAAAATCTGGCACGGTACAGGGGCGCCCTCCTACCTTGCAAGTGCTGACGGATCCGTCCCGTTTCTCCGTGCGGCAAACGCCGACAAGCTCGTCGAACAATCGTGGTCCAGGAAGAAGGGGACGATACGAAGCCATCGACACGTCTAATGGGGTCGTCACTTCTTGCTGCAGACCACCCGTGGGGGCACAACGGTACCGCGACGCTCCCGCCGCAGCCCCGAAACGAGTACTTAAAACGGTTCCCGTTCCGCTGGTTCAAGAGCCCACGGCAGCTGCCTCCGCCCCGTAATACCATGCCGCCCCGGGTCGGGACGTCACGCGCGCCGCTGGTACCACCTGACAAAGCCAGGACCGCCCCGGTCATCACGCCCGAGGCCCATCATGACCAGCAACAAACATGTGCCGAGCACAGCCGAGGGTACGGAAAGCGTCCAGTCTGCTGCGGTCTGCTGGCAGTAGTCTGCCGCTGTAGTCTGCTGGCGGTGTTCTGCTGGTGCCGCACACCCCAATGCACTCGGGACGTCCCAATGGCGCGCGTGTCCATGTGATGTCGACGCGCCTCCAATGTTGACGTCGCATGAGTCGACTGATCCGTCCGTGCAGGGCGGGACTTGCGCGTCAGCGCGCCTGCCCGTCAGCCGCAGGGCCCCCACCCACTCCACAGTTAGCAAAAGGCTCCTCGGGGTCCACAAGGGGGCGGCACAAGGGGCCCAGCGGAGGGCGCAGCGGGCGGACCCAAACGGCCGAAAGGGGCCGGGAAAGGACAGCGCCCCCGGGCGCCGATCGGACCGCCGCCGGCGGCGGGCTCGGGCTTGCATTCCGGGAACGCCGGGAGGTCCTGTGGGCTGTCACCGTGGCGCGCAGCGGGCGGCCGGCGCCTGAGATTGGCATCGCGAAAGGTGCAGGTTCCGGAGCCGGTGAGGGAACGGCGGAGGGGAGGTGGGTGGGATCCTGGGGCGGGATGGGGGAATGCATTGGGCCGGGGGGACCCCGGGGTCGGGTTGGGTGCCCGCGCGAGGAGGGGCCGGCCGGGGGGCCCGTGCCGTGCGGCGGGCGAGGCCGCGGATGGGGAAGGAGGCCCGACGTCTGCTGCGTCGGGCGCAAGTTGTGACTGTTGTGAAGGAAGCTGCGTGCGACGCTGGCCTCTGGCGCCCGCTGGAATTGTGAATCGCGGGGCCGTGGTGGCGGTGCGGGTGCTGGGACCGCGCTCCAGGGCGCGCAGAAGGTGCTGCGTCGACGGCGACCGCGGGCGCGGTCCTAAGACGGGAACTAGCGGCTGGGGAGCGGGTGGCGGTGGCCGGCGCTGTTGCGGGCGTGGTCGCAATTCGGTCAGTTGTGCTCATCTGGATTGTCCGCTGGGAAGCGGACCGGGACCGTGTTGCCCGTCCCCGGTTCTTTCCAACACTCGGACGCCGGCCCTGCGCTCGGGGGTGGGTGATTGGGCGAGAAACGCAGGTTTGCGTGGTGTGTCACGTGCCTAGCGCGCTCTTCTCTGCCGACTTTGAGAAGCAGGGGGTGGCCGTGTCTTCAGCGGGTTTGGGCGCGCAGGCCTGTGCCAGGGGGAAAAGCCAACAGCCAACTCGGCTCATTCGTGACGATCGCCCACCCGGAAATGAAATTGGGATGCGGTTGATGGTAGGGCGGTGGGCCCTGCGGACAGCGTTCCCGCTCTATGCCATAATCTCTCCCGTTGCCATCAGCGAAGCGCCAAACCGCGCGGAGAGGCGGGGCCCAAATTACGTTCGGCCTACATATTCGGCCTATTTTTGGCAGTGCGTTCACTGCTCCTTCGGCACCATGCTGTGCGCGCGTGGACAGATATCTGCAGTGAGGATATTTGTTCCCATACGAAAATCGTTCACGGTGGTACCGGAAGGAAACTTTGTAAACAATCAGCGGCCTGCTTCTCGTTGCATGACTGAGCTTGGTTCGCACATCCACGCTCGCATCTGGATGCCCCAAGGGAAAGAGAGAAAACAGGGGGGGGGGATGAACGTCTGAATTGTTGCAGAATAATTGTGGCACACAATTGTGGCATGGGGTGCTGCTAACATTGTTTGTGGTTGCTCGCTTTTTCCTGCCCATCTATGAGCTCCTGCCATTCGAACTGGTTGGGTTTGCTTGGGGCCCGCCATGTTTGCTTCTTTATGTTATTTGTGGAGCCTGTGAGACCTGGGTCAGTTGCAAGACAGTATTGTCGTGGCTGCTTCTTTTACTGCAGTGTCAGAAAACTTGACAGCAGGGCTGTTCGCCCCTTTTTTACTGTAAAAATCATTGCACAAATGCCCCTTCATCGCCTTGTGGGCCTTTACATGCACTTAATCTGCTTGGGCATGTTTGTGTACTACCAAGCATGTCTGCTTGATTAAAACAGCACACTGCATTTTCCAGGCATGGAGCGCACCTCCTGCACAGCATTCACATATTTCTAGATGTACCCTGAGCGTCGATGGGCTTATTTACAGGCTGTTGCTCTTTTCTGGTGTTGTATAGTTGTGAAATGACAGCAGTTTGAGCCCTAACTGGACTGGTGCATGTCTCCCTGCAGGTTCTTCGTGAGTCCCTTGTAGCATCCGACACATTATTGCCTGTTTCACAAACATGACGGCCAAAGCAAAAAGTCTCGGATCCCTTCAACTCATTTGGTGTGGTGCACTGCTTGCCATTGTCGTTGCAGTGGCTGCAGTACAGCGTCGTGAGGTAAGTGAAAGTGGTAATGAAGTTGAGATTGTGCTGAACAGTTTGCATTTTCTTGTAGCATGTGCATGTGTGACGATTAACTCCCAGTTTCATCACATGCTAGTTGTCATGCATGTCCTAGAGTGCCCTCATCAGTGCATGTGTTTGCTGGTATGGATCGTGCTGGTAAGAGTTCATATTCAAGGCGGGCTGTCAGTTTGGCCATTGGTGGGATAAGAGATCGTGGTGGCTGATGAATTAGAGCCTTTACAAAACTGCAAGATGTGTATGATCGTGCCCCAATAAGACCAATTGCTGCTTCTGTCTCTATGGTACAAGCATTATCAGGCTGTGCATGGACGATTGGATTTTGTTCTGATGGTGTCTCATGGACTGGGTTTTGTCAAGGCCACAGGATTCACGTCAGTAATGGTGCATTCTCTCTTGTCCTTGATTGCCATTAGTGGTAATGGCGATCCACAGCAACAGATTGTGGACCAACAGTTCTGTGTTGCATGCAGTCAATCCTGTCTTCCGTGTTCTGGATCATTCCATGTGCTGCTATCTGTGCGTATTTTTTCTGGGTAAGTGTATTGTTGTCCAATGCTGTGTTCATTTCCTATTGTGTAGGCACCATATCTTCATTTTGCTCGTTGCTTGTCTGTCGATCTTCTGACTTATGGTTTTGATCAACATACCCTGTGTACATGGGGAGAGACACCACACAGTGTCTTTGCGGCTGCTTTGTGTGCACTGAAATAGCTCAGGAACTGTCATCATGAAATTGTTGTTGAGTGTCTGCGACACGGGACCTATGTGATATAGACGCCGCAAAGCAATCCCTGAAACTCAAGGCCATCCCAAGGGCAATCTTGTGGCTGTGAATGTGTGTACACTTGTCAGCATAGTTGCATACAAGAGTTGCTCTCTTGCCCTCTTTATCTGGCTTACCCATATGCTGCAGGTTGTCTTCTTGCCTGTTGTGCTTTTAGCCTGCACTGGGATGTTGCCTACTGGAGTGCAAAACGTCTTCTGGCAGGCATTGCTTTGGTGACACGTCCCCTCTGACTGAGCTTGTGTTTCTGTGGGGCGCTTTAGGGCACCTCTACCAAGAAAAAGAGCCCACATACACTCCTGAAGCTTGGCAACGTCCCTGATCTGCCAGAAAACTATGTTCACAGGGAAGACATCGAGGCCTCGGTCCTGTCTTCCCTGACAGAACAGCTTCCAAACGATCTGCATCCCTTTGTTGTCATCGAGGGCATCGGAGGCTTGGGCAAGAGCACCACAGCAGTCGCCGTTGTCAGTACTGAAGCGATCGCCGATCGATTCCCAGATTCCATACTATGGTCACGCTTATGTACCTGCGGCGAGCTTGGGGTGGAGCGGTTGTTGTGGCTTAAAGAGCTTCGGGGGCAGCTGGCGAGGCAGTTAAGCAAGCAAGCTGACAGCACGACTGTGGAGGGTTCCTTCTTTGGCGCTGAGTCTGAGGATGACATGGTCACCCGCATCAACTACCTGCTGCTGGGGAAGAAGGTGCTGCTTGTCCTGGACGACGTCCGGTGCAGGGACGTGGTGAATGTTTCATTGAGATTGAACTGCGCTGTTCTGGCAACCACCAACCACAGGACCATCACCCCCCATGGACCACGGTGCAAGATCCTTAGCCTCCGGGCACTTGAATATGCTGAGGCACACAGTCTGCTGGCACGACACGTTGGTGCCGACCTGGTCCATCCTGAGCTGGGGGATGTTGTCAGGAGCTGCAATGGCCATCCAATGGCGTTGGCGGCTGCGGGGGTGCTTTGGAAGAAGGCTCTTTCCCACGATTCTGACGTGGTGAAGACAGCAGAGCAGATGGTGCACAGCTTTCAGCAAGTCGGCGGCAGCATCAATGTCTGTGTTCCCTTCGGGAACATGTTGCAGCCCAGTGAGAAATGCATGCAGTCAGCGGTTGTGAGGAGCATAGAGCTACTGTTTGAGGGATTGTACACAGACGAGAAGGCAAGCTACATCATGCTTGCTGTGCTGCCGTTTGAGCATTATGCACCAAGAGAAATGCTGCAGTCTTTGTGGGGCATGTCCAAGTCGGATGCCAGTAAACTGTTGCACAAGCTTGAAGATGCTTACCTCATTCAGCGTTATGTCAGCAAAAGCCATGGGAAGACGTGGTGGGGCATTCATGATGTGCACCTTGCCTATGTGAAAGACTATGTGAAGTCGGTTGATGCAGTCGAGTCCTTGCAACTTGCCAAAAGGAGGCAGAGAGACTTCCTGTCACAGCTGCAAACTTTTGACAATCTGGCGTCCACGTTGGGTGAACGAGAGCTACTCTCCTTTTGGTACGAATTCACCTCCCTCCCTGACATCTCCAAAGCCTACATGGACGTCGTTGACAGGGGACGGAATTCTTCCTTTGGCGGGCTTGGAGATCTTGAGACCCAGCTCTCCATGCTGCTGGATGATGTGCCACTCACACCTGGCCAGAAGCAATGCAGTCCAGTGCACTCCCCTGCCACCAGCAATGCCAACATGAGTGTGGTAATTCAGCTGGCAAGCTTGTTGTACGTGATGAACGAGCTCCAGCCGGCTAAAACCCTCCTCCTAGGCATCCTGCTGACACTGAGGGCCTCAAGGCGGAGCGACAGCTTGAGGGTTGTAGTGTGGCATGGGTTAGGTCGCGTACTGGAGGCCGAGGATGACCTGATGGGCGCTGAGCGCTGCTACCGCAAGGCCCTGCAGATATCTAAGGAGATGCATCAGGAGGGTGATGCGCAGTTGGGACTGCTCATGAACAGCCTTGCTGTTGCCTTGCAGCACCAGGGCCAGTTTAAGGAGGCGGAGACGATGCACAGGGGCTGCCTCACCATGCGGGATGCTGCGTTGCCCAAGGGCCACCCAGATGTCAAGCAGTCCTTGAGTAACTTGGTGCTGGTGCTCCAACAAGAGTACAGATATCCGGATGCGGAGGAGTGCCTCCGGATTGCCTTGGACTTGGACAGGAAGGTGCTGGGTGAGGGTCACCCAGACGTGGCTGCCTCGCTGAATGCCCTGGCGCTCGTCCTGCAGCAGCAAGGCAAGTTTAGCGATGCAGAGCAGCTGCACAGGCAAGCCCTAGAGCTGGACAAGCGCATATTGGGACGGGAGCACCCTGACGTGGCCAGCTCCCTCAACAATCTGGCCCTTGTGCTGCAGCGGCAGAGAAAGTTTAAGGAGGCGGAGCAGCTGCACAGGGAGGCACTGTACATTTACACCAGAGTTCTTGGGAAGATGCACCCAGATGTTGCAAGCTCTCTCAACAACCTTGCACTGGTGCTGACAGAGGAGGACAAGCTGGAGGATGCTGAGGCACTGCACCGTGAGGCTCTGGACATTCGTATGTCTGTGTTGGGCAAGGAGCATCAGGATGTTGCCAGGTCACTGTACAACCTGGCACTGGTTTTGAACATGCAGGGGAAGTCTGCAGAGGCAGATGTGCTGTACCGGCAGGCTCTGGGCATCCAGAGGGCCATTCTGGGGGAGGCCCATCCCGATGTTGCACAGTCCCTGAATAACCTGGGAGGAGTGCTGCAGTCCCAGGGGGAGCTAGGGGAGGCTGAGGCCCTCCATTACGAGGCTTTGAGCATAAGGAGCAAGGTGCTGGGGAACGATCACCCCCATGTGGCCCAGTCGTTGAACAACCTTGCTGGGGTGCTGGAGGCTCAGGGCAGGTTGGGGGAGGCGGAGGCCCTGCACCGGCAGGCCCTGGAGATCCGGAAGGATGCCCTGGGGAGGGGCCACCTGGAAGTCGCAAGCTCGATGAACAACTTGGGGAACGTGTTGGGCGCCCAGAGGAAGTTCATGGAGGCAGAGGAGTGCCACCAGGCGGCCCTGGACATAAGGAGGAAGTCGCTGGGGGAGGAGCACCCAGACACAGCCAGGTCTTTCAACAATCTGGCGGGCATACTCGAGGCCAGGGGCCACTTCAAGGATGCCGAGGGGCTGTATCGAGAGTCTGTCAATGTGCTGCGGGCCACCCTGGGCAAGCACCACCCGGACGTTGCCAAGTCGCTGATAAACCTGGCCATTGTGCTGGGCGAGCAGGGCAAGGCCGACGAGAAGGAGTCCCGCCTTAGGGAAGCCCTGGAGATTCGGAAGAAGCTGTTGGGTGAGAGGCATCCCGATGTGGCAAGCGTGTTGGGCCTGCTGGGGAAGACGCTGGGTGCTAAGGGAATGCTGGATGAGGAGTTTTCGCTTCATGAGGAGGCACTGGATATATGCAGGCAGGCCTATGGGGAATACCACCCAGAAGTTGCACACTCCTTGAACAATTTGGCAGTAGTGGCGCTGCAGCAGGGGCAGCTGGAGGAGGCAGCAAAGCTGCACAGGGCTGCCCTGAACGTCCGAAAGAGGGTGCTGGGCGAGGTGCACCCTGACGTCGCCAGCTCCATGAACAACCTGGCCATCGTCCTGCAGCAGCAAGGCTTGATCGAAGAGTCGGAGGGGTTGCATCGCCAGGCTGTGGATCTGGAGAGGCAGGCCATGGGCAACGACCACCCTGATGTTGCCAGCTCGCTCAACAACCTGGCCAATGTGCTGGGCGCCCAGGGGAAGTTCAAGGAAGAAGAGGAGTTGCACCGTGAGGCGTTGGAAATTCGCAGGAAAGTATTGGGGAAGATGCACCCAGACGTGGCAAGTTCGCTGAACAACCTGGCGTCTGTGTGCCACCTGCTGGGCAACTACAAGGATGCAGAGAAGTTCCACCAAGAGGCGCTGGGCATAAGGCGGGAAGTGTTTGGGTCTGAACATGCAGACGTTGCCAATTCGCTCAATAATTTGGCTAAGGCTTGCAGGGCTCAGGACAAGCTGGTCTCAGCAGAGGAGTACCACCGGGAAGCGCTTGACATACGAAAGAAGCTGTATGGTGAGGCACATGTGGACGTGGCGAGTTCCCTCAATAATTTGGGGCTGGTAGCAGAGGAGGCAGGGAGGCTGGAAGAGGCAAGAGCCTTGCTGAGGCAGGCGTCTGGGATTGCGAAAAAGGTGCTGGGGAAAAACAACCCAACCGTCGTTGCCATCGAGAAGAATTTGGACATGGCCATGAAGGCCAAGCGAATTAGGCATAAGAGGCAACACTAATTTATTCGAGTTAGGTAGGCCAGACAAGCGCATGCACGTGCCTCTGGTGGTGGAGAGCGAGAGGATTGCACGGCGCTGCTGCCAGGAGTGTTTTGCTGCGTTTTTGCATCTTATCGTGTGCACCAACCGACGCACGTCCTTGCACTTCCGCGTTGGTTGGAGGCTTTTGGAAAGCGACAACCTGATTGGCAGAGAAGACATGCGTGAGGGTTGGGCTTGTGTGGTGATCGATTTGTTACAAGCACGTGTTGAGGACGAGTGACAGCTGTGTGATCGACTTGTTAAGAAGATGTAGTTGGATGAATTGCAATGCATTGTTGTCAGCAACGCGGCTGCCTGGCAACCGGCCTCTTGCCTGCGAATTTTGTCAATCGGCAGCCGGTATTGGGATGTCGCAATGTGCACATTTAGTGAATGATATTGTTTATGTACGAGCAGTCACAATGTATTCATAGGCACAACACAACATTTATGTGCACAATCTAGTACATGTGAACTGAGTATCGTTACACACCGCAAACAACGAGGAAGCCCCTCCGGGTGGACCTTGTGCTGCCATCGATGCAGTATGCATTCATGGCCTCGCCAGGTGGTGGAACAGGGGACGGACAGGTGAGCTCGTCTGGTAGATTATTCTCCTTGGTACGGTGAGCTTCCAAATTCGAATCTCGGTGTTTGGGGCTGCTGGTAATGGACCACTGCACTGGCTGCGTCAAGTGCCGACGCTATCTAATGAGAATGAGCAAAAACAGCACTCATTTTGGTGTCACCTGCAACGAAATTATGGCACAGCAATAGAGAGAAAGGTCAAAGGAAAGGAAGAAACCAAAGAGCGAAAAGCAAAACTGGATGTGAGACTGGGTCTGAATCTGTGCCAACTTTTCAAGGCCGCAGGATGAACTGTTCCGTTCATGTGGGCGTTCAGTGTCACGAAGTTTCTGGGAAAGTCGGACCCGCGATATGAACGTCTGTTGGCGCTCTCCTGTGAGTACTGTGCCAGCGATTCGTGCCCTGATTGTGACCACAAGCAGACCTTCAATCCCTTCTGCCGGATTGGTGCTGGAATTTTGGACCAGTGCGTTGTTGGTTTGGTTGCGTATCCGACGTTCCTGCACACTAGGGAAAAAAGGGCCAAACAACACGTGTTCAAACGTGTACAAAGCTCACGGGTTTGGGTTATTTCGTGTTGCTAGCATGCAGAACACTGATGGAATGCATATATATGGGTTCGTAAAAAGTGTTGTTTGGTCCTTTTTTGGCTAGTGCGCAGAAGCCCGCCTCCTACGGGTTTGTTTCTCAGCTGCTTTTTGGACACCTAGCCATCAAATCGCTGGGCTGTTTCGCACCAGATTGCATGCAATAATTTCCCGCTTACTCCTGGGTGTAAAAGAGATATCCTAGGGCTTCAAAATGTGGACATCCAGTTGTCCTGAATATCTGCATTGGCAGGTGCCTGATTGCTGAATTTATGATAAAAGAAATGATTAGAATATTTTGTTGACCCTTGCCTACAGCCAGGTAATTAGATTCGCAACTTATCGGACTCCGCTCCAAATGTGGACATGCAGTTCGACATTTGGTTTGTTGAACGCAGTCCTTCTTGCGAACACTGGACCTGTAGTTTGGCTCTCACTCTCTTGCACAACTTACGCCAAATACGCTTCCTTTTGTTTCTGAAAATGTACTGCGCACGAGGAAATCAATATCATCATCGCCATTGGCACAATGGGTGATGCTGACCACATGGGTTCAATTTCAATATAAGGAGCCAGCGATGGGATCAAGTGTAGTGAAGTCAGATTTGATTCTTGCATCAATAGCTCAACGTGTCGTACTCCAGCCCTTATCCCCTACTGGTACACCCAATGCCAAGTTTCTAGTGCACCCCGGGTGTGTGTCATGGGTTGGAACGCTCCAATTCCATATTCAGCGAGCATAACTCCCCGAAGGAAAACTGGCATTCCCCTGCAGACGTGGGAGGAACTTGTCCCTCCCATCAATGCATATGCATTGTATATCCCATTTCTGTTTATCTACACATGTAACATGGACGCGTTGCTTCCTTTGGTCAAGAATTGTGGGGCTGTAATCCCACAATTCCTGACCCAAGGCAATCTAACCTCGATCCACAGATATCGGACTAGCAATGCATCAATGACTTCCTTTCTTCCTCGTGTAGGGTATGATAGCCTTGGGTTGTGTCTGGCATGTCGACGTTTCCTTTCCTTCACTAATATGCAAGGAAAGATGAAAATTGGATCAGGGCTTCTAATGCCAAATTGGCTTCAGTTCTGGATATTACAGAAAGGCTGACGCCGTGTTTGGCATTGGCACTTGGCCGTGGACACTATGTGCTCCCTTCGGGTGAGCTACTATGCAATAGCACAACATATTGTGACATGGTGATTTGTTGACCTACTTTGGAGTGAACAGCAACGCACACAGGCCAATGTTGCATGCTGTTCGCAGCACATCCACATGTGCATATCTGAAGCTTTTAATCTACAATTGTGTCATGCACAATCCACGATCATGGATCGCAGAATCCATGCAAAATCCATGATCATGGGTCATGGAGAAAGGAGGCAAAACAACACCATGAAATATCACAATCTTGGCCGTGAACATGGGATTAACTATCTTGCTAATGGGTTTCCACCAAGGGCGACAAGGGGCGGGCGCGCTGGCTCCGGTTGGACCAGCGCTACTTAAGTATGGTGGTTTTTGGCGGCCCCCGGGGTCTCTGTCCCCTTGTACCTTTGGTCAGTGGCCAGTTCGTCGTGTTCAAGGAGGGCCAGGTGTTTTTGGCGCCCTTGGGAGCGACGTGCTTTGGCGGGCACGAGTGGGGGAGGCTATTTGGTCTCACCCCTCAGTCCCCACTCCATCTTGTTTCGCTTCCCGCTCGGCCCTCCCTATTAGGGTGATGTTCGGTTGGTTTGGGGAAAGTGTGGGAGTTGAGTACGAGGGAACAAGGAGTTGTGGGGCTGACTCATGGTCGAGTCATGTATAGGACTGGATTAACTACTAGCGAAGTGACTGAGTACACAAGTTGTGGGTACCTCGGGTTGTTTTGGACAAACAGTGTGGTCTTTGTAATGTATTGGTCCAGTGTGTGGGTGTGGACCTGGGTGGGACAAGGAGCCCGTCCAGGCGGAATCATGAGTGCATCACAGGTTTTCTATCATAGGTCTTGAGGGATGTCTCGCTGCCATCTTATGCAGCGAGATCGTCAGCATAGATGGTCTGCCAGATTGTCTGTCATCATGCGGTAAATAGAACATGGATAACAAGACGGCTCGTGGAAACACAACCCCTTTGGTTGTTAGTCAACCTGAACCCCACAACAAAACTGCCAAGAGACTGGTCTTCTTGAGATCACAGTTTCAGGAAGACTGCAGCGCGAACATTGTCGATTTGGACAAGGCTACGATGAGTCATCGCCAATGACCGCGTAGTCTGGTCTTTCCGCATTACCATTCCACTCCTGCCGCCCATGTTCTCCAGCTCCCGGCGCCGAGGGGAACCTACGGCCTTGAAAGTGCAGATCGCCCATTGCACTAGGAAAAAAAGGGCCAAATAACACGTGTTCAAACGTGTACGAAGTTTACGGGTTTGTGTTACTTTTGTGTTCTTGGCGTGTAAAACTATGATAAAATGTGTTTTATGTGTGTTCGCAAAAGTGTTGTTTGGCCCTTTTTTCCCTAGTGTTGACGTCCTGAACAACATGCCACGTGGGCAGCCACGCGTGCGAGACAACCGTGCAACTTGGGGCCCGCTGGCGAGGGTGGCAAGCCTGACGAGCCATCCCACGGGGAAGAGGGTTGTTTTCGCACTTGTTCGCCAAATAACTACCTTAGCAGTTGGACACGAGGGATTTTTTGGCCGTGGTCGTAGCGAATTCCAGCACAGTTGGATTCTCCGGTTGGCAGCACAGGGTTTATGAGTTGCGATGGCCTTTGAGTAGCGAAAGCAGGTGACGCAATGGAACTCGCGCACAAACACGACTGCTGCGCAGGGCTGAGCTGGGCCCGTTTCAGCTTTCAACCTGAAGCGGACCCTGCGGGGCAATTGTGTGTTTGTGAGCTCCCTTGTGTGACTTGCTTTCGTGTTAGCACGAACGTTCGTGCTAACACGCCAATTTGCGGAGGTGCGAGGGCCACCGCCAACAACGCGTACAGCGATGTTGACTTTCCAGTGTTGAAAAGCCAGAGCATGGAACACAAAGGCAACATGCACTCCGAGCCTCTGTGTGCACGCAGCGACTGGCGACGAAAGTGTCCTCTCTCCACGCTGAGCCGGGCTTGGGCACTTGCTGTCTGTGTGTGTAAGTGTGTGTGTGTGTGTGTTCATCCCTCCCACTGCCCCCGAACATTTTCAACATGAACGTGTGCTGCCCAGGTGGCAAAGCAACGGTGCTCGTTGGCCCCCGTGCAGGCATGGGCCAAGCGACGAGCCCTCGCGGCGTTCAGCGTGCTAGAATCGTGGGCGATGAGCGTCAAGGCTGAATGCTGGCCCGGGTGGCTGTGTGGCGCAAGCTTTTAGTTGCACTGTTGCGATGCACATGGTCGGCAAGCGCGCACTTGCCGAGTTGAGTTCGCATCCGACTTCATTCGTGCCTTTATTTGCCGGCCGCCCCCCGCGACCAAGCTTGGGCGCTCGCGCCTATTTCGCATTCCAGCTAAGGGGAAGAAGACACTGCCGATCGAAGGGTCTGTCCTGCGGCGCTGTAACCAGCGTGGCACGCCCGCTGTCGGGGCGCGAGCGACCCTGTGGAGGTAATCTGCGCCGATCTAGATCGATCTGGAATTGCAGATGCCTCCAGAGACATCAGTCAGCGCCTGTCGAACGACAACTGCGCCCGTCCTGTGACAAGCTCACCCGGTTCCGCACCCGGCACTCTCAGCTCCACTGGCCGCGCCCCAAAGCCGTCACCTCCGCGCCCTCGTCCGCGCTCCCTGGCCACCCTCCCGCTTCTGCCCGCGTGGCGCCCCAGTTCGAGCGCGCTCTGGCACCGTAAGCCCTCGACCCTGCCAACCGAACGCCGCGGACCGTCTTCCACCTCTGACTGGGCGACCCTCAGTCCTGTGGCCAAAATTGCGCCCCAGGCCACCTGCCGGGCCTCGATTGGCCGAGCCGAAGTGGGCAAACGTGGACTGGCCCCAGATTTCCAAAATCCTCGTTAGTCCAACACGAGTGGCGGGCGGAGATATGCATCGCCGCATGGCGGACGGGCGCACGCCCTCGTGTGACGGAACCCCATCCATGTGGACACCCACAGTCGGGCCAGGTCCCCCACCACCTTACTACAGCTTCGCCTTGACGTAAGCCGCGCAGGCTTGGACGGGCCATAAAGCCGCCCCGGACCCGCCTGACACCCACGAGCAGCACACAATACTCGGGCAGTGGCGACGTGCCCTGTACATCCGTGCCCGACGAGCCTGCGGGCGCAACTGCGACAACAAGCACACCCAAGAGGCGACAGCAGAGAGCGCGCTTCTCTTCGCCGAGCCCAGGGGCGCAGCGCGCAGCCCCAGTCGGTTCCCCCCGCCCCTCCAGGGGCCAAACCACTTCAGATTAGCTTCCCCGCCCTTCGCCGACTCCGATTCCGGTCACAGCCAGCGAAGGGAAGCACGGGGAGGTCGGGCTCTCGTCCCCGCTGGCCGATGGGGGAAAAGGAATTCGCATGTCCCTCCCCAGACCTCGACGGCGACGATCGGTGCCGCTCGGACGCGTTCAAAATGGAGGAGCTGCCGGGAAAGCGCTCCGAGGGCGGCGTCTCCTTCTCGACCCAGAACGACGCGTCCGACGACGGGGGGGATGACCGGCCCCGCCACGGCGGGATCCGGGCCTCTCGGCGCGACTACCAGCGACTGGCCAGCCTCTGGACCGACCTGTGGTCCGCGCCGGCCTCCGGATCAGCGGGGGCCCGGCAGAAGCGGAGATCCCGAGCGGGCGGGCGTCGGCCCGCCGGATCGGACATGGAGAGCCGTGGCGTAATCTGGGACGCCACGTGGGAATCGCCCGCTGCCCATCTTGGAGATGCCGAGATCTGCGGCGAGGAAGCCAATCGAGGGAGCTCGCCCTTTGGGGATTGGCAGGGCGCGGGCCGGGGAGTTGGGATGAGCACTTGGCCGGGATCGGAGCCGGGTGTGAAGCTTGGGGCCCGAGGCGGCGGGCCGCCGTGCCTGTGGGAGCTGCCGGGGATCAGATCCGGGGACAACGAGTCGGTACCCCTATCCGATGGGGAGGAGGAGAAGGAGGAGGGGGGAGTCGGGGAGGGGGGGGAGGGGCAGGGGAAGGGCCTGGAGGGGCTGAAGGGGCTGGAGAGGTGCTGGGAGGAGCGCTGGGGAGGCGCATGGGCGGCGGACGGTGAGTGAGGGGGAGCCGGGGGCCGCGGCTGGGAGCGCGGGGGGAGGCACGTGCCAATCGGGGAATGGTTGTGTGACGATTCGGGCGGAATTCGCGCGGCGATTTGCCCTGCCTTGGGGCCTCACCCGGAGGTCACGGCTAGGTTGGGAGCCAGAGCTTTCTCGGCTTTTGGCCACGCTTTCGGGCGGGGTATGTACGCCCTGTGCGCGCTTTATGCGCTCTTTTGTTGTCTTGGCGTCTTTGTGGTGGCCGTTGAATACCATGGTGGGCCACACATCGCCGCCGGCCGGGCATCGAATTTGGCGAGCGCCAGATGTGGAAATTGGAGTCTGAATAACTCCGTCCGGGGCCGCTGCGCATCACACCAAGTCCCGCCCTGTTGAACGTCACGGTCGGTGCGTTCCCTTGTGCTTCCGTCGGAAGTGTCGTGCTTGCTCAGTACTCGTATTTCTTAATGGCAATTCCCTTGAATGGAACAACAGCTACCCTTTGGTTTGAGTCGCTCAACGCACCTCTTGTTTCGTTGTCGCTCATGCACGCCAGAACTGGGAGCCCTGGGCTCCTGCGCCTTCGAGCGTTTTGTGGGCGGTAAGCAGCGCATTGTTTCGCCAGCCCACATCTGTACTCGCCCTCTTCAAGGAACGCGTTGGTCCAGGAGCCGCCAGCCGCAACCTTTCTCTGCTGCATGCTTCTGGCTTACTGTCTTCGTTTGTTGTTCGCAGATGACGCTGGGTCAACAGGGGAAGCAGCCACCCTGCGGCCTGGCCGAAGCCGCTCACTTGTCCACCGCTTCATGAAAGCCCTGTCGATCAGCTCCCGTGGCAGGAGGGCCCACAGCAAGGCTTTCGAAATTACCGATGAGTTCAGGGATTTTACGGATCGAGTCATGCCGCCATTTCCTCCAGATTACATCGACCCGGTGGCGAGCTCATTTTCCATCTAAGCCTTGACCATTCGCCCCCTGGCTGAGGGCAGGGTGGGAGGAAGGTTGAGAGAACGTGTTGGTTAGCATGCGGTTTCAGCAGCGGACAAAGGAGTCCGCCTGTTAGCACGAACTGCAGCTGGCTGACTGACTGACAGCAGTCTGGAGAGGTCGCAGGAAACAACTGTTGGCAAACAGTTTGGAACAACGTTAGGATCACAGCTGGATATCGCGAGAGGACAATTGTGACTGGATTCTTTGTGTTTTTGGGCCAGTGGGGGAATAAAAGCTGCCTTGATTTTTTGTCTGTGTACATTAAGAAAATGAATGCGAACGAACGAGCGAGCGAGCGGCGCTGTGCTGCTTCGGTGTCGCGCATGTTGAATGGAATACCATCAATAGGACTTGAGACGTGGCTCAGTTCAAGCATTGTTATCAAGGAACACCGCACATTGGTGGTATTGTACAGATCATTTTGTTGCCGGGAATTCCTGGCATTCGGTGCTTTGAAGCACCCATGCTGGTGTCTCTGTAAACCATTTTGTTATCTTGTGGGAATGTGCTGCAGGCCGGTGGAGTGCTCATGTCAGTTGTGGGTGGACCTGCATGCCTGCTGTATGTATATTCCTTCGGGTTTGATGTGTCCACCGTTGTACCCGAGGCCCACGGGCCCATTGCAATGAACAACTTCGGCAGTCGTGGAAACGACGGTGAACAAGCCCAACATCACAAACAGATTAAGAGTTGTCGGGCTCGACTACCAGGAGCATGCTACAAACCATGATATTCACTGGGGCACAGGCGGGCTGATTCAACATCAACTGACAAAATATCGGCCACAGTACACGGTCCTGAAATTCGTGCACCGTGTTGTGCGTGTCAAAATGGTGTAAAAATCGTGTAAACATTGTGTGCCGATCGTGTACTAATAACAAAATACACAGTTGCCGCTAATACACTGTTGAAATCGTGTAAAACCATGTGCTTTGTCGTGTTATCCATGGTGGCAAGGTGGACCACTCTCGTGTACTACACAGGGTTGAAAACTACACGATTTTGGCAATCGTGTAAAATCATGCTCCAAAGCACCCGATGGTACACGATTTTAACACGATTTCGCACAATTGTACACCGTGTAAAATGGTCGAAGTTTTACCAGTGATCACCTACACTAACGGCTTGGGTCGGAATGGCGAGCACCAGGAATATCGCCCGACAGGAGCACATAGTAGGAGTACGATACTGTTTACAGGGCGTGCCCTCAACCAGTAGCAAAACTGGTTGTGTGACTTGTCAACGGCGCTGGGCGTGGGCGCCTTGATGGTCGATGCTTGGACAACAATGGTGCCAACAACCAGCGCCTTGGCCTGGCCGTCCAACGTTACGAGCAACACCCCCCGGTCCCAGCTGGTGGCGCCGTCTCCTCGCATGTCCAATTGCGCGCATTTCAGGGGGCTAGCACTGCAAAAACAGAGCTTGGGAGGAAACGGGGGGCTCCTACCTGAGCCTATTCGGCTGAATCTTAGTGCCAAAGTGAACGTTGAATAGCAGCAGCAGCCCCCCTTCACAAGGTGGGGACCCTGGGCATCCCCAAACACTCCCGTTCTGCCTTTTGGTCCCTTCTCCGAAAAGACACGCCGTCAGCACCGTTGTGAGAGACAAACCCATGGACCGCTGGGTTGGTGTGGCAAATTTGATGCCAATATCTTGCGCATCAATTGTCGCCACTGTCGCAGAAAAGAACATGTCGCAAAAATAAACAATTTCACTGTCGCAGAAAAAAATAGTGGCCGGTTGTCACGGGGCGGCCTTGAAGAGGTCACCCAACTGTACCACACTCGTGTGGGCATAAAATTACTCCCTGCATCAAATCGGTGACTGCTTGCACGAAAACGGTGACTGCTTGCACCAAGTCACGTGCACATCATGTCCAACTCCGTCAAAACTAACCTAACCTAAAACCTAAACCCTAAACCCTAAAACTAAACCTGTCCTAACCCTAACCCTAACCCTAAAACTCACCCTGAACTAAACCTAACCCTAAAACTGAGGTTAGGACAAAGTGTGCACGTGACTGGGTGCAAGCAGTCACCGATTTGGTGCAGGCAGCAATATTATTTCACTCGTGTGCAAGCAGTATCAAATAAACGACGGATCTGGAGTCGCTCGTTTTCGTTCGCGTAATGCCCGCTGTACGTACAGGGTGCCCGTGCGTCACGCCACAGGGGCGTCGCCTTGCGCTCTTGAGTACGCGCGGGCGTGCAGGACACCGTTCGGGCGGCCCCCGCAGCCGCGCCCCAAGACCAGCCCAGGGCCGGGGAGGTGCCAGAAGCCCGCCTGCCCTCGAGCGGCGCTCCTGCGCGAGGGCCAGCAGATACAGAGGCGGGCCAGAAAGGGGAGGGCGAGGCGCAAGTCTGTCCCTCTCGGCCGCGAGGAAGGGACGGTTTCAGGGACGCGGAGGAGAAGCGGAAAATCGGAAAATCGACCCTGTGGGCTTTTGCAAGAGGATGGGCGGCGATCGGTGCGGCAAGGGGGGCGTGGCTGTCAGCGGCGGCGGGGCGTCTTTGGCGTGGCGTGCGGACATGGTTGTTTATGAGGAGCGCGAGGAGGGAGACAGGGGGGAGGGGGGTTACCGGCGGCTGGAGCACATCTGGGAGGAGACCTGGCAGGCGCCGCGGCGCGCGGACAAGTACGGTCCCGGCATCGGCGGCGGGATGATGATGTCGGCGAGGAGGGGCGGGCAGGCCCCCGGGGACCGGCGGGGGTGCGGGGGGGGCCGCTCGGCGTCGGCGGACGCGATCGAATGCGACTTCGGGCGGCTGGAGGCGATCTGGGATGCCTGGTGGTCGGTGCCGCGGCGCGCGGTCGGCCGCCAGGATGCGATTTGCGGCAAGGCCGAGGGGAAGGCCGTCGAGGCCAAGGCCGGGAGGCTTGAAAAGGCGGTTGGGGGAGATCGGCGCGGGGATGCCGGCCTCGAGGCGGGGTCGCCGGTGGCGGGGTCGCCGGTGGCGGGGTCGCCGGCGGCCGCCGGGCACCACAGACGGTCGCGCAGCTGGACGGGAACGGAGTTCAACCGCATGGCGGGGCCGTGGCCCCTGTGGCAGGCGGGAGTGGAGAGCATCCCAGGTGGGTGGGGCAGGGGCAAGATTTGTTGCAAAAGAGGAAGAGAAACAGGTCATACAAAGGGCATCCCCGCCTAGTGGTTGGGGGAGGGGGTGGGGGTTTCAGGGTTTGAATTGAACAAGAGAATTCGCCGCGCGCTATGGTGAAGGAATGGGTTTGGGCGCCGCCCCGGATGCCGTTGTTGGGCGCGTGGGGGCACCGGTTGGTTGATGGGCGTTTCGATCCGGTGTCGTTCCAAGAACCCCGTTGACGGGGTGGGCGCTCGGCGAAGGCTGGCGCAGGCCGTTTGCTGCCGTTTCGCTCCCGGTTGTGGCGTGACAAGGTGTGAGCCGTTCCTGGGATTCCAGGATCCCGCGGCCCGGGCCATGTGCCTCGTGTGGGCGGCAGCCAACCGTGCCACCCTACACCCACCGCTCTGACATTCGCCTTCGCAGTGCAAGAAGAAGGTATTAATTTTGGAGCCACAAGTGGAAACGGGGAGTGATGACTATATCACCCAAGGCAGTCGTTATAATGGTATTAATTGTTGCCCTGCCTCCTTCAGTCAAGGCAGCACAGCTTGTGCTTCAGATCGTCGAGTTTGCCTCACGCTGTTCATGCCATGTGCCTCGCACAATGCAAAGGCGCGGTGCAAGGCTCTCACCACCGTTCAATGCATAGAGAGGACTGTGGCAGCAAGTGAGGCATCCGATTGCCAGTTTTCAGGCCGACGTGCTCGAAGGGTTGTTCGTCTGCTGTAAACCATAGCTGAATATTCCGATTCTTGTTCTGCTTGCAACCTGGCTTTATCTTCATGTGTTTGCTTGCACCTGTGAAGTTCGTCCATCGAGATGGCAATGCCCCGGTCCTACGGCTGCTTTTGCCATCTGACTCTTGCAATCTGGATTTCTGCATGAATCTTGTAGGAAAAGAGTTCATCATGAGAACAGACACAGATCATGAAATTGAGACGCCCTCCCACAATTTTTGCTTTGAGATGCTGAAGGTAACAAAGAGCAGAAAGGCGAAATGCATATGGGAATTAAGAATTTCCAAAAGCAGCAGAACCTGTTGTACCCTGCAACGAATTGGCCACTTCCCAGCATCGCGCACCAGCACCTGGCTAGTTTCGTCAGCACCAAACTCTACAATATTCCCCACTGATATGTTTGCCTTTCCCCTGCAGGTTTTGACATCAACGCACTGAATGGAGCATGCCAGACAAGTGAGAAGAATTAACATTTGCACAAGGGGTTTCACTGGGTGGTGGTGCACGGAGAACGTGAGGCTTGCCGCAAAAGTTGAGGTGACCAATTGTTGGCCCCACCCTCAGTCATTTTCATGTAATCATTCAATCTTCGACTGGGGAGTGGGGTTGGGAGGTGGTGTGGGAGAAGGGCATTGAGCAAATGTGGCGGGAGGTGCTGCACACTGTGGCCCCAGTGAAAATGATGATCGGGCAAGTGTGAGAATGAGATATCATTTGCTCTGAGGTTCGAATTTATGGTTCAGTAGGTGGTGGTAGTTGGGATTATCCAGGGAACTGTGTACCAAGGAGTTGAATAGAATAAGGTCGTCCACTTGTGTAAGCCCAGCCAGAGGGACTCGTGGAGGGGGTATGCACAACTGGATGGCCGATTTGTGTATGTTACCACCCGCGTGTATGGATCTGCATGACGGTGGGCTGTGTTCCACGATGTACATATAAATCTTATTCATGTTCAGCACGTTGAACAAAGGAGAGCATGGCTGCTGCTTTCCACTGGGACCATGATGAGTGTGATTTTGTATCCTTTGCTAAAAATGTCACTCTGCTCTAATGATTTCAGCCAGTGTGGCAGCGTCGGTTTTGCTGGCGGTGTACAAGGTGTTCACAGTGACTGCGTTTTGCCAGGGAGCATCTCGCCAGTTGTTGCAATCCGGCCTTGTTATGCTTTCCAAATGCCTCTCAAGCCAAAACTTTGCAAGGCTGTGGGCGGAAATGTTGCCATGCAATTGTGGAGTAATTGACAAGATGCTGCGGTTGGGGCGTTGAAAGGTCAGTGGAGCCTGCCCTGTGCCGATTTACTCGTGATGTTTGCCTTCGGAAGACAAGACGCGTCCTTGCACCTTCCTCTCCCTGGGAGAGGAAAAGCAACAGACGCACGCACGCAACACGTGGTGCCAGAGTGATATGGGTCGTGTCTCTGCTGAGCCCAGATGATCGAAAATTGTTACAATGCTAACGATTTACGAAGAGCATGCAGTGAGGGTCAACGAATCTCCGAACACCAGTATTGCAAAGAAAAGAAAGGAAAACAATCAAAGATGACGAAACACGAGAAATGGCAGTGCCGTCGCTTCGCTTCGATTTACGGATCGATCTGCGCGGTGTCTGGGGTCCCTGGTTTTCGGGGTCCACGTGGGTGTCCATTGATAAGATGTGGAGAAATTGGCGAGCTGACGCGCACTGCGGCACACACCCACTCACACTGATGCGCCATGCAATCGCTCACAATGGAGAAGCCGATGAACAGCGCGACCAAGCGTCGTTGGGCGGTATTTACGCCGTAAAAGCTGAGCGTATTCACGTTTTTGTGTGTAAAACTATGTTTTACGTTCTTACGAATTAAAACGCATAAAAATACGTAAATACGACGTAAATACAGTCCCGTGCACATAAGGACAGTACACACAGACCTGGGGAGTCGGGAAGTGGCAGTCAGAGGCGCTGGAATGGTAGAGAACGAGCATGTGTTCCATGGTGTTGTGGCCCTTGCCCAGGGCGAGGTGGACACTGTGTTGCCGGTGCACCCGGTGAGACACTGCAGCACGTGCTGGAGTGGGTGGAGGACTGATCATTGTATGCAGCTTTCACCGCGTAACTGGCTGTCCCAACGAGCCGTGAAAGCGTAAAAGCATCTTGAAAATATCCACTTTCGCAAATTTACGTTGTTATGCATAAAAGCACAAACGAAAAAACGTAAACGTAAACGTAAAACCAAGTCTGGGCCAAGATGTCAAATAAAGGAAGCCCCAGCCCCCTCTTCCGCTGACAATGCCAACGTGGGTCAGTGGGTCAGCAGAATGTACTAGTCCCTCTGTTTTTTCCGTGTGGATCTTTTCTTCTTCCGCTGACAAAGCCAACGCCGGTCAGTGGGTCAGTGGTTTGTAGGGTTCACGGTGTCCAGAAACAAAATGGGATCCACACGAAAGGACTAATCTCATGCCGTGGATCAGTGGTTTTAGTGTTTGGGGTGATTTGCCACAAAATGACCAGCATTTCTTGGTCATTCTTTTTCATGGCAATCAAATGGGAGCGCTGGGCGTTTGCCCCAAGGCGGGGTGGGATGGTGTTTGTGATGGCGTCGCTTTCTTGTGCATTACGAAGGATGGCGCCCACAGGCATCACAGCCATCACCTGCGCCCGGGGGTGGTGGCGCGGCACCCATCTAAGCGTTACTTAAGGCTCGTTTAGGGCGCGGAATTGATGTGTCGGTAGCATGGAACCGCGGGGGTGAAATGTGGGGGCGAACCGCGGCGTGTGATGCGAAGTGATGCGGTGTGAAGTGATGGGGGAATGACAGACAGACATTCGGTTTCAGTGTACGGTTCGTGTTGAGAGGCGGACATGGCATGTCGTGCCCACCGGGTGTGAATATGGCTCTGTCCGCCCTAGTGGGTCAGAGGCCGAAGATTCCAAGTCATGGTGATGTAAGGATTTGTTATCTGTCTGACTGTCGCATGGACTCGCAGGTGAGGACATGTGGAGTCGGCAATTCCGAGTGGACCTTGCGGACATCACGTTACGGCGTGAGCCGGCCTCTCGGGTCACTGATGATGTGCGTTTTCCCTCTCTTGGAGCCTACGGTGGGTATGGTGCAGAATGTCGAACTGCGTGGACTTTGAGTTTTGGAATTGGTGTGCTTCGATGGTCATGGCGGGCGCCAATCATGATGGGGCGTCTAGGCCATTGAAGGTCATCGGGAAATGCGCATTACAAAGTGGCCGCAGTTCAGTTGGGGAGTGGCGAGCGCCGGTCACTCTGCCATGATGAGCGTGTTGCCACCAGCGCTTTGGTAAGGAGACTGATAGGAGGACGAATAGTCGACGAATTGCTGAAAGTGTGAAGTGGAGTTCCAGTCAGGGAGACATGGGCATTGGCCTTGCGCGTTTGACCGCGTTTTGATAGAGTGTGGGTGAATGCGCATACCAAAGGGCAAGGCATGTAAGTAAGTCCCATAGGACGCATCGGTCATCAAAGTCCGAGCCCAATTCTTTGGCTTTCATTTGTGTTAACTCCGATGATGATGCCGCCGTTTAGTGGATGATGCTGGGCATGGTTTTAACAATGTCGGAGCAAGAAGGCATCATCACGGACAAGACAGAGCGACAAATTTCATGCCCAGGCGCGCCCGGGGCCGAAATAAAATTACTGCCTGCACCAAATCGGTGACTGCTTGCACCAAGTCACGTGCACACTTTGTCCTAACCTCAATTTTAGGGTTAGGTTTAGTTTCAGGGTGAGTTCCAAGGTTAGGGTTAGGGTTAGGACAGGTTTAGGTTAAGGTCTTAGGGTTTAGTTTTTAGGGCAGGTTAGATTGGACGGAGTTGGACATGATGTGCACGTGACTCGGTGCAAGCAGTCACCGATTTGGTGCAGCCAGTAATTTTATTCCCCCGGGGCCTGTGGCATGTCTGGACGCTGTCCCTGTCGCCCCCGCGCCTTCCCCCGCGTCCACTCCCCGACAGTTTCTCCCCCACCCCACCCCACCCCACCCCACCCACCACCCACCCACCGCCCACCCACCCCCGGCCACGCAGGCCAAACATGCTCAACTCAGGAGGCCCCCTCCCCCTCCCCTTATCCAGATCCCATGCGCCGCAAATTTCTCCGCGCCCACCCGCCCGATCGCCGATCCCTCCCTTCGCCGGACGGACCGCCCGGATGGCCGCCGGCGCGGGGCCCCTTGCCGCCGGGCTCGATCGGGGGAAGATGGGCGGGGCCGCGATGAGATGCGCGGGCGTGGGCAGGCTGAGCGGGCCGGGGCTGCCGGGCGTGGAGTCGATGACCACGGACGAAGAGCTGATGGAGGCGGACGAGATCGCGCTGGTGGACGAGCTTGAGCGGCTAGAGGCCGTCAGGGCGGGGCTGGGGAGGATGGGGAGCCGCCGGGAGAAGGTGCGGGGTGGGGGGGTAAGATTTGCATTTGCCGCAAGGAGATAGAGAAACAGGTCAGCAGTTGGCACCCTCTCCTGAGCAAAGTGTGCGAGACTCTTTTCCGGGGGGGGGGGAGGAGAATTGCGAGTGGCGAACGGGGGGGACGAGGGGCGACGGCATTCTTTAGGAGTCGATTTTCTTGCGCAGTTGGTGTGGGAGATGCGGAAGTTTATGTGTGGACGAGTGCGTGGGAATGGTTGGAATTGTGGCCAAAGGGATAGGGCGTGTTCGGTGATGGTCAGGTGTGGGATTTGCGCGGCCGTTGTTGAACGGGGCCGCCGTTGTGGGGATGGGCGGCTTGACGAGCCTTTGGGATGTTTGCGTCGCAGGTCGAGTTTCTTCAAGCGTCGGAGCTCTGCACGGCTTTCCGGAAGCGGATGGGGTGAGGACGGGCCCTTTGGCGCGCTGGATGCGGCAAGTCATTCGGGCAACCATTCCTGCACGCATTCGAGCAGGCAAATGACCGACGCTCGATCGGCATTGGCCGGGATACGCTTCTCGTCTGGTGACGGCGCTGGAAATCTCTTCCGTTCAATGCTGGATGGTTCTTACGACCGTATATGAATGCTTCTTCGGATAATTGCACGGTTGACTGTGTCGTAGTGAAGGGAACATGGTGGCAGCAGCAACTGCTGGTGCTGTTGCGGCATCAAGCGAAAAGGCAGACAACTGACAACAAGCTGGGTTGCTCCAAAAGACACCAATGTGACATTCAACAATAATGGAAACGAAGTTTCCATCTGGGAGCCTGCTTCTGGACACCAGCCTAAAAGTTTTGATTGCATTTGTTGAGACAATGGAAAACCGCTGAACACTGGAGCCCCTGGGACGACGACCTACAGGTTGAAGCACAGTTGAGCATCATGTTTCCATGCATGTTTATGATACCATGCATATATCAATCTCGCTGTGCATGTGCAATTCCCTGCAGGCCAGCATTCCAGGGACTTTTGTGCAACCTCCCCGAAGATGCCGTGCTCATGCTTCTTTGCCTGATAGCAATTGGACAGGAGCATGTCCTGGGCCAGATCGAAGGTGTGCTGAGATGATCGCTTGCAGCAACGGATGATCACATTCGCACAGCCTCATTTGCCCTTGGTATTGTTGTTTGGCCATTGTTTCACTGTTGCACTTGCCATGTTTGCAGTTGCATTTCCATTGGTTTGCTGGGGTGGCTTGTTGGATAGTTGGATTTCGTGCGCCAGCTTGTTTGAATGGCAAGAAAACGTTGGGAACATAAAGGAAGGCGACAAACACAATTTGTTTTGTATCCACATTTGCCTAAAATGGTGTTTCGTGCAATGGCTGCAGTTGCGTTAGAACTGGCTGGATAGCATCACTGGTTCAACTAGGAAATTCCCTTGTTTAATTTTGCATGAGAAAGGCAAGGCAGAGCCTTTGCACCTTGTAGGCAATGATGGTGGTTACCACAGCCAAAAGTGGTGTGTTGGCCAGCACAAGTTCTTGGCAATGTGTGACATGGAGGGGACCATTGAAGGGATTGACATCATGTCCGGCATTCATTTTCGTCTTATTTAAATCCAAGTACCTTGGGAATGTAAATATCAATTCGATAGATATAGGCATAACTGTGTACTTGGACATTATTATGTACATAAAGTGGGTACAATAGCAAGTAGGCAGTGGTAACTGTGCATCCGATTTGTCCAAAACGGGGTTGGTTGGCCAGGAGCTATCTCAGATGCGCATGTGCCACCATAATGTTTGCCAGACCCATAGATTGATTGTGTTGCATTGGTTCTTGCATTGTGTAACCTTAGACCTGGAAATTAACGACTGTACCACAAGCCCATGGCTGGATGAAACATTCAAGTACCATGTCTTCCGACCCATTAGTGCACTAAATGGTAACATACAGATTCTGAGCAACATGCCTCCAACAACCACCTCCTGTCAAGGAACTGGCACACAGTGATCAGCTCACTCTGCAGGCATGTCATCATCTCTCTTCTTTCAATTATGATGCCCTTCTTTATTCATTTTTGTGCTCAGACACTACCTCCTGCGAATGCAGTGCCCCTTCTGAATGTGCAGTGCGCTCGCTGGCATTGCACCAGGAGTGGTATCCAGTTCTTTTTGTCACCATTGCTTGCTGCGCTGTTCAGGCCCAGTGCACCAGACAGAGCTTGAGCAGTTGGCTGAAGACCTGGCACATATCGAGCAATTTTATGACAGCTTGGGGGGTATCGTGGGTTACCAGTTAAAGACTCTGGAGCTGATCTTAACCGGCCTACAAGGGGAGAGACGTGGTGAAGATGGCAGGGAGAATGGGATGGGAGCCATTGAGTGCCTTGAACCCTCGTTCCTAGACCTGTCACAGGAGGGAAATGGCGAAGAGATATCCCATGTCGTCATGGAAGGGATCAAGTCACTCCCTTTCTTTGCAGAGATCTATGCGATTGGAGGCAAGTTTGTATTCTTTTCTTCTTCCTTCCAAATATGCACACTGCTTACTCTTTTTGGCCAGGCACAGGGTCTGGTTGCAACAGCAGGTTTTCATTCATTTCCGACAAATGTAATCATAGCAGAAAGTACCTGCTGAGACTCATGTTGGAATGCAGGTGCAGGTGATCGCCTGGGCCTCGTCGATCCCTCAACTGGAGAGCCTCTGCCATCGGCATTGCTGAGATACTGTGGGAGGACGATGCTTGATGGGCTCATCCGTGATGTGCAGGTAGACTGCAGTTTTTGGTTTGCATTGTGCCATTCCATCTGCTCATGGCATGATTGGTGGATGCAAGATCATCGATTGCGTTGCATGAACAAGTTGAAGGCATTTTGTGTCACATTTGTAGGAATGTATTTGCACTACCTGTTGTGTTTGCCACTTGTCTGTTACTCTGCTGGAATATATGGCAACAAGTTCGGCAGGGCAATAAGGTGAATGTCCAGAACAGCAGCTGCTTTACAGTGCAGAAAATGGCATCTCAGGGCTATGTGCTTATTTGCAGCCACAACCCCTGTGAACAGTGGTCAGAAGTGTCGCTGCACGAGTCCATCTTTGCCAAGGAAGGACAGGGTCTAAAAATTAAAGTAGCTCCAAGCAGTGGCCAGTGAGCATGAGTCCAACTGAAACATGTTAAAACTGCTGTACAAAATGCACTAGATGTATGTGCTCACTCGGGGTTAGTGATCAAATGTTTGGCATTCACAGGTTCGGTAGTGTAGTGACAATTGGAGCTGCAATGTGCACAGCCAGTTATTTGGGCATGCTCCCATATGTCCCAATGGTGCTCCTTTCCTTGCTCCACATTATGGCAAACAATCGCCCATTGTATGACATATTATTCTCCTGCTGACAGAACAAGATCTTCACCACGGAATCCGCAAAGTGGCCTGCTAATAGGCTATGGCTTGAGCCAGTGAGCCAATACTCTTGGCATGCAACAATCTTCAGTTCGACTGTATTGAATCGACGTCCCCTATCAGGTGAAAGGGTAGCACATTTTGTGGTCATGTGTTTGACAACTTTCGTGCCGTAGTGTATTCCCTCTTCTGCATTTCGACTTTTGACCATTACTATTTTGCTCCGCACTTTTTGACAGACTGCTGTTTATGGTTTTTACGCTCAGCATCGCGGTCACCGCCAGAATGGCGACTCTGGTAGTTTGCATGATATCAAATGGCAGTTTTCTGGCCCACTGACCAATGCATCCGGGCCCACAAGACGCCACAAGCAGTTGAGAGACCCTCGTGTTGAGGCTAGGGCCGTTCTGGCCATGGCAGGGGGCCATTTCCCAACGGCTATTGGGTGCAGCATGGTCAACCGACAGAAGTGTGGGTTGTGGTGAACCTAGCTCCTTATAGCTGGTCGGGGTGTTACCCTTTGGGCTGCTCTGCATTTTTTGGGACAGCATAGCGTCATGTGATTGCCCCGCAAGCAAAGATCGAACGTTAGGTTGCGATGTGGAAGGCCTGAATATAGCATGGCACATGCAGTTTGACAGCTGTGTGAATAAAGGCATACAATGGTTGGCAGTGTTAATGACTGCGATGCCTGTTGTGCTGCTCAGGCCAGAGAGTACCTGCACTATAAGATGTTTGGTACTCAGCCAGTCATACCCATCGTCCTGATGACTTCAGACGCAAAGGCCAACCACCAGAAGATCACTGCCTTGTTAGAGTCCCGGAGCTGGTACAGACGAGGCAAGGAGATGTTCCGAATCATCAAGCAACCTCTTGTGCCTGTAGTGGCGATCGAGTCCGGAAAGTGGCTTGTGAGCCGGCCCCTGAGGCTGGTAATGAAACCAGGTGGCCACGGCGTCATTTGGAAGCTGATGCAGGACCATGGAGTGTTCGACTGGCTGCAGACGCAGGATGCTGTGGCGGCAGTTGTGAGGCAGATAAGGTGTGCACAAGGGAGGGAGGGCAGGAAGCCTGGCTGGCAGCAGGCTGTTATGGAGTGATGTTATTCTTTAGTGTGCGTTTGTGCAAGATGGCACAATAATGTCCAGCGTCACGACGATGATGGGCGAGCCTGCATCTATTCTGTTTGCTTCTTTGCTTTTGTGCAATTGAGGTCGCTTAGAAATTTGTTGGGTCATTAGAGTTCAGCAATCTGCAGACAGCAGGCATGTAGCATAGTGAACTTTGGCATTGGGAGTTGCAGGCCCAGTTTGCGTGCTTGACAAACCAATTGCAATGGAAATATTTTCTACTAAACTACTGGCTGCAAAAGCTAAAAGTTTGGAAGCGAGCGCGTTTCTCCATTCTTGGTGAGAAGAGTTGGGGCTCGTATCAGGCAAGTTGTGTTGTAGATTGTGCCTAGTGTCTGAAACTGCCTGTAATGCTAATTGGAGCAACGTTGCATTGCAGCTTGGCTTCGCTCTACATTAGCAGGTGCTGAACTGCTCCAAATCGCCTGTTGAATTTCTTTTGGTGCCAGCATGGGTCCAAGCTTGAGTATCACCATTTTGTTCCGGAACAAATCGTAGCGATGACTACCAGCTTTGAAATTTTCGCTAAAATGCCCAGCTCAGTGCCGGCTACATACCAGGCCATCATTTGGTGCACATAGTTGCTGCTCCCATGGGCGAAGCTGCTATCTTGACAAGTTTGCTGCAAGTGTTCTCTGCAGTGTTGCACACACCAGTTCTGTGTCCAGGGAGTTGTTGCATTGGTTTTTGGTGTCTTGGCTCTGCTGTTGTTGTCTTAGTTGGCTTGACCACAACTTGTTCGGAATTGGCTCTGAAAGCCACAATGCTTTGCTTTGCTTGATACACTGAAGAGCCAAGCATGTGGCAGACAATTGATTCTATGCAGTTCCACTTGAACTTGTTAGGCGCATCGGTATGCTAAGACTCTGACAGTTGTTCCTGCATTGCCATGCACGATGGTGATCGCACGTTGTTCTGTCTGCTTTACAGCAACCCCCTTGCTGGCACTGACACCACCCTGCTGGCTTTGGCGGGCGCAGGGTATTCTCAGGGGAAGGCGATGGGGTTCGCATCTTGCGAGCGTGTTGTGGGGGCATCTGAGGGCATGATTGTATTGCGACATGAATCAATGCCTCCTGAAGGTTAGTATGTCGACTGGGAGATGTCAAGCTGTTGCCTCATAAAATGTAAGTGCAGTGGTAACTCTGTAAACTACGCTGTGGCCACATTTGCTTCTGCTGGCATTTTGTGCACAATTTCTGTGTTGCATTGGGTGCTGTCAGCAAAAACCGTGCTGGCCAAATTGTCTGCAATGTATCTCTGGTTTGTGTCATTTCAATTGGCTGTTGGAATTTTGGTAAGACTGACCTTGCCCATGGTTGGCTTTTTGTTTTAGATGTTTCTGCTGCTTCACTGGCATTGGGGTTTGTGAAACTCCTGAAGGTACCATCTCTTTTGTTTTGCATCTGGTATGCAAGTGCAAGAGCGCCTGTTCATGTGGCATATATGGTAGTTTTGGAATACCCTGTCACATGGGCCCCGATGGCGACTGCAGGACAGTGCACCATGGGACAAATATAACCAGCAGCCACATTTGTCCTTTTTCTGCATGTGACATGAAGCATGTCTTTGGTTCTGATGTAGCATGATATATATGCTTCTGCCCCCTGTAGCGATTGGCATCAAACAGATTGATAATAACTGCAGGCAGCCATATTGCCGCAACACTTGGTGAACGGCAACTGATTCCAATTTTCATGTGCTTCTTATGTTAATGTGTTGATTTCATAGTCAGCACTGTCTACTTCGTGCTAGTACTGTATTGCATCAAGTTCTGCAGCAGGTACATGATCCTCCCAGGTTGCAATGCATGTTGCCAGATGTACCTGTCATATGGGAAGATCTTGTATCTGTTCTGAACAAAAATGCGCAGTGCTGTGCTATGACGTGCTGTGCCATGCCATGCCATGCCATTCTGTGCTGTGCCATGCCATGCCATGCCATTCTGTGCTGTGCTGTGCCATGCTGTGCCATGCCGTGGTGCGTTGTGCCAATAGTAACCATACAAAAAGCTGACCAAATTCGAAGGCGGTGTCATTTTCTGCACCACAAAATGGGGCCAAATATACAGAATGAGGCCAATTATTTGTGGCGACATTGACGTGGCCCACGACTGTAATGGCACGATTGAGGCTTGAGTTTGGTGGCCAAAATTCACACTGGATCCCTTCAGTAAGGCTCGTCACCAATTGAGGCGACAGAACTTCTCTGCAGTTCTGGCAAGTTATGATTTTTCATCCAAGAAATTGCTCTTCACATAGAGCTTCCAACCAGTGTTTCCATCACATTTGCCACACAGAAAACATGACGTTGGATTTGCTTGACTCGGTGAGGCAGAGAAAGGATGCTTGATAGCCATACTTGCCCTGTGGGACATGGTCCTTTGGGTGGCCATTGGGGACTGTGACAGGAGCCTCCAACAGCCTGGCAGGGCGAGTGTGGCAATTGGGTGTATTTGTCTTGAAACAAGGCCATTTGCTCATCATGTAAGATTTGAACATCGGACAGCTGGGCAAACCATAGAGTATATCAGGTGTCTTGATAAAGCAAATGCACCTGCAAGGAACGTTTCAAATCGTTTCACTGATGCCCAGTGGGCGATGTCTGGTAAACGAAGCTCTGTGCTGAAACTTATGTGCACATTCGCTATTCAGGCAGCCACCCGCCATCCCATAAATACGGGCTGACCAACATCGAGTACACTGAGTTTGAGCGCCTTGGGATCACTGACACAGCTGTTGAGGGCGGCAGCAGCACCAGCTGCTTTCCAGCCAACACGAACATTCTTTACATCGGCCTGGAGGCCACAAGGCAGGCTGTCATGAGGGGGGCTGCAGAGGGCGGGGGTGCTGCCCTCCCAGGCCTGATCTTCAACATGAAGAAGAAGGCGAGTGGATGGGCTTGTGGTCCTGGGACCCCGCAAGCTCCTGCACAGCACAAACACCACATCCGATTACGGTTCTGCCCCATGTATTGCTCATATTGTGCCCAATGTGTGTTTCAGGTTGTCTTCTTTCGTGATGTCACCTTGTTGTTTTTCTGCCAGCATTTGTACATGTCGTCACAAAGACGCCCAGAGGCGACAGTGGGAGGGAGACCATGTGTGTGAACCGCCCAAGCAGAGAGGAACATGCGTTCTTGCATTGGGCAGCCCCATTTCTAGCGAGAGCTTGATGCCAGACTTTTGGACGAAGCAAATGATTTAAAGTACTGTGGGTACGGCAAGAGCAGCATGAGACATAGTGCGGCATGTCCCTATGAACCAATACCCCCATGCCTCTTGCAGGTGAAGTACTACAACGAAATAGCGGGCAAGGCAGTCGCGGAGCGCGCCGGGCGGATGGAGTGCATGATGCAGAACTTGGCAGACTCCCTGGCGGACAGCATGAGCACAGCGCTGCCCGTGGGGCGCCACGACCTGCTGTCCACCTTCATGGTGCACAATCATCGACGGAGGGTGACGTCATCGGCGAAGAGGAAGATGGCCCCTGGGGCGACTAACCTGAGGCAGACTCCTGAGGGGTCGTTCTGGGACCTAATGGCCAACGCCAAGGACTTGTTGAGGCTGTGTGGGGTTGAGACGCCGGAGGTAGGTTGGGAGGCATGGCGTGGCCAAACCAGCTGGGGAGGTCACAGAGGCAATGTTCAGAGCCTAAACTTCGTGTGATTGTTGCAGCCGCCGACGCCTTGTAGAGGAATGGGTGGGAAGTGCGAAAAGCCACTGCCTTTTCACCAAGTTGGGCAAAGTGACCAGACCGATTTGTTGGCTGTGAATTTCTGGGAATTTTGGCTGCGCATAAGTCCCCTTGTTGCTCACGTTGCCCTTTGTCCGTGCATCCCCCAATGCACCGTAGGATGGTCAGGTGCCCGTTGGTTATGAAGTTGACACGTGGCAACCTGGCCCTTTGCCTGGCGCCCAATTGCATCCCAAATTCTGGCCAAACCGAACCTTTGAATTCCGCATTCGAATGTTGATGCGGTGACGAGTTCGGGTATATTCCCGCCAACATGTGCGCAGCCAATACATTGACCGACGAGCACGGCTCCCACGGACGCATTGCTGTCTCCTCAAATGCACTCGACAGGCAAAAGCGCTATGGCGCTCATTGATGACAGTACCCGGTCGTGTTGACGCTTCAGTAGACCAACAGCTGTTCCCGTTTTGTTCAGTTGACGCCCATCGACCAATACTTAAGCACCGGCCCGTCCTTCATCTTCCTCTTCCACCCAGCACTGGGCCCCCTTTGGGAGGTTGTGGCGCAGAAGGTCCAGGGCGGCCGCCTGACCCGCGGCTCCGAACTCGTCCTGGAAGTCGCCGAGGCCTGGCTGCGCGACGTCGTGGTCGACGGCAGCTTAGTCATCGAGTCGGATGACGTCATGGGACTGGTCGAGGATGACGCCGAGGGGCGAAACAACGAGCGCGGCTGGCGGGACCCCGCGACAGACGGAAAGACGGAAAGGCGGAAGGACGGAAAGACGGGTTTGTCGAGCGCCGGCAACGGTGGGGTTCCCCTGAAAGGCGAATCGACGACAGGTTCGTCGAGAGACGACTCAACCACGGTTTCCTTGAGGATCGGAGCGCCTGTAGACGAGGGGTGCTCGACTGAGGGGGGTGCCGACCCGCGGCTTGTGTTCGGCAGCCGCTGCGGCAGGGTGTGGATGGAGAACGTGGTGGTGCGCAACCGGGGGCTGGACTGGAAGGCCCCGGGCAATGTGTACTGGGAACACCAGGTCGTCCGGCGGGAATGTGCGCGCGTGGTGCTGCACGGCCAATCGGAGTTCGTGGCTGTGGACGTGGTGATCGAGGGGGACATGGTCTTCGAGGTGCCGCACAGGTGGGTGGGGGATGAAACCGCTCTGTGCGCTTGGAGGGTGTTGAATTTGTGACTTGAGATGTGAGTGTGGCGTGGTGGTGTGGTGCTGCCGGTGTGTCGCTGCTGATATCTTGTCGAGGGATTATTTTTGGGAGTTTTGGAACGCCTTTTTGTGGTAGTTTCGGATATCGGGGGTTGGAACGCTGCGAACGATGTAGGAATTTCTTGGCAAATTGTGATGAGTAAGGAACCCAGTGATCGGTTAAGAATCTGTGTTGCCGCACAATTCACCGACGGTGTTCCTTGGGGCAAAGTATGCAGCTTATGGCGATCGGTGTGCCTAGATATATGAAATTTTCTGGTTGAAACCATTGGGAAAGAAGTCAACATCTGTGCACAAAGTTGTTGCAGAGTGTGCCGCCTTTGTGAGCTGCTGGACATCAGCTGTCCGTCTTGAATATGAAAAAGTGTGAGGAAAGAGTGCCTTGCCTCGCAGGTGCCGCATGGACGTGAGCAACGACGAACACGGGGGCGTCGTGACTACGCTGATCTGTGTGGGCAGCGACGAACCGTCGTGGCAGTGGCGCTACACTCCTGGCGAGGACGGCAGTGTGCGCCTGGAAGTCTTTGAGCTGGATCTCGAGCAGGAAGATCATTAATTCAGAAAGAAAATAGCTGACCCACATGATGGGTACTTCAACCAAACTAGACACCACCACATGCTCAGCACGGTTGTTCGATCCACCTCTGCCACGCACCCGCCGACCCACCCACGTCCCTACTTCCCCAGGGGCCCGAACACATCATTGTGACCGCTGAAACGCTTGAGCTCTGACTCAAGGGGATTCTCCCCTGGGTCGGCTATCGCGACTGCCCCCTGGAAATGGCGACACGGCAAGAACTTTGTTCACCACTTCCGTGGTTTGTTTCAATTGTGGTTGAACACAGTACTGTGACCACTGAAACGCTTGAGTTCTGAATCAAGGGGATTCTCCCCTGGGTCGGTTATCACGCCTGACCCCTGGAAATGACGACACGGCGAGAACTTTGGACACCACTTCCGGGGTCTGTGTCAATTGTGGTTGGCCCGCTGGCAGCTGAGTCGGAGACCTGTTTAACGTAGATGAGTGGGCTGTTGTGGTCTTGTAAGCAGCGGCAAATAGAATTCATGGCGGACCAGAACTGAAAGGAAAGATGAAAGCGCTGGCATAGGCATTTGCGTGGGGGAGGCGCACGTGAACTTATCAGGGTGGAATTTGAGCACTTCTAATGCAAGTGGGTGAATCCGTTCAAAGCCAATCCTGGACATCAGCGAGTTCGACATCTGAACTGCGCCTAATGTATGCCTTGTTGATCTTGCAAGGTACGTGCCGTGGATGCACACACGGCCTGAATACTGCTCCTTCTGTCTGCCGGTCATTGGCTGCCCCGCTGGCCTTTCTCTTGTTTCCAGGAATGAGGAATTCCTCATTGTCCAACACCCTCAATCCCTTTAAATGTCCGGTGTCCTTCCTTTCAGAGTATGATGTATGTGAGGGATAGAAAGCTGTTTCTGCTTGAGAGCATGGGAGCTTGGTTCAGGGTATCCTTATTCCTATGACTGGGGTTTATGTGTGGTGGACCTTGTTCGGCCATTTAGTTCAAAATGATTCCATGTTTCTGTCGCTCCTGTGAACACGATGCTGAGGGAATGTACATAAGGTGTAGTTGATCAAGCAAATGCTGAGGAATGAATCCCTTTTGAAAACTTCCAAAATGCCAGTATATAAAAGACAGTACGTTTGTCAGGCACCCTGCCCCAAACCTCGCCTTTTTGGGTTTTTGCCAGTACTTTCTGAGTATTTACAGACAGTATTATTGGCTTTTGTCGACAGTACTTTCGAAGTACTTTCACTTACTAAGTATTGGCGACAACGGTCGGTGATCACGCCCGAGCTTGCTTCCATGAGCAAAGCACGACGCCAGCCCTGGCGCCTCTCAAAACCATAAAACTGGACAGGGGTCGCTGCTCTCGCAGCTGAACGGGCCAGAAAACGTAGAGTGGGCCAACTCAGGTGGACTGAACCTTCGCCAGAAACCAACAATTGACAAGAACGTGCCCCACAACCAGTTGATCGTTTGGAGTACTGCAAACCAGTCGTGCGCCTGGAGTACTGCGAACGCGTTCAGGCCCGCGCGTCCGGAAGGTAACAAGCGCAGACTGCTCTGCTGCTTTGCCTTGCCAGCCCCCGCCGAGGGCTCCACGATTGAGGGGAGGCCGAGCCGCGATCGCCGATCCTCGCAAGGGTCAACAGGGCAGCAATTTCCTCGCCGCCCATGGGCGTCTGGGACGCCATCTCGTTCGCCGCGGCAGCAGTCCAGTCCTCGTGGCAGCCACCACCAGATGAAAGCACCGCTCCTGCGATGCCAACTGCGATGCCATTTTGACGCTGAGTGGGGCAATCGCTGAGATTGCAATGGCGTAAAAGCGATAATGGCATCGCTAGTGTCAAATGATAGGGCAATTCGCGTCGCAATCGGCATCATCAAGATTTCAATTCCTGCGGGCGTGTGGTGCCCGGCGCACCCAAGGCGCCTGCTCAGCACGAGGTGGGTTGGCAGACCGCCAGAGCCCGGCGAGACAGGCGCGGCGTGGTACCTGGGCTGCAAAACGCGGGCGAGGGCGGGCACACAAGTGGGAGGCTTCCCAGCATCCTGGGTACCCGCCGTCGCCCATGCCATACGGGCGTGGCCGGTCAGCTGCACACACTGGAAGTGTGCGCCAGACGCACGCGGCAACAGCCATGTGCGCCCTGCGGCTCGCAGGCAGCGAGTCGGCGGTCCATGTGGGAAAAGGGCTCAAAAGGGCCCCCGACTGCCCGCTGCCTCCGAAGTTGAAAGGACTCGGACTGGATAGCAGCGCGCGTTGCGGAAGTACGGCACGCGCCAAGACGCAGGCCGCATCAACCCCAAGCCTGCCCACACTTACTACGAGCTGCTCCACGCTCCCTTCTGCGCGGGACGCGGCGCCCGCGGCTGACTAAACCGTGGCATCAGCGTCCCCCCCCCGGCTGGGCCATTGCGCTGGGGCGGCTATCTACTGCCCGCGGCATGCCAACACGTAGGGCATTACTCCAGCCCCCTCGCGTCCAGACCACGCAGCCCCGTAACCTGCTGTTCCCTTCTGCGTTGCTGCTCGGGCGCGCGCGCGGGGGGCCTACCCGCATGGACCCCCGGGTCCCGAGCTGCTCCGGCCCGCCCTTCGCCGCATTCCGTTGACCGCCGCCGACCGGGCGGAGCATCTTTCGCGTCGACCGGCCGGCGGGCGGCCGTTCCGGAGGGGCAGCATGGGCGACGAGGGCGGCCGGGCGGCGCGCTCCAGCGTGCTGAGGCTGCGCGGCCTGCCGTTCGCGGCCACGGAGGGCGATGTGGAGGAGTTCTTCAAGGGTTTCGAGCTGAAGCAGGTCCAGATCTGCAAAAGAAACGGTGGGCGCCCGGCGATTCGCCCCTGCACGGGCTGCTGTGCTCGGCCTTCGGTGTGGGAAGTGGCGGGGAGGGGAGGTTTGTGTATTGTTGCGGTGGAGACCCGTCTGTTTTGCGGAGGTGCGTGATGTCGGCGCGCTGATTGACGTTCCGGGCGGGGCGTGGGCGCAGGCCGGTCGACTGGGGAGGCGTACGTCCAGCTGGAGAGCGAGGTCTCGGCCGGCGGCGCGATGCAGGAACTGAACTGCAAACACATGGGGCGCCGGTACATCGAGTGAGTCGCGGAGGCCTGCGGCGCCGCGTGGAGGCGTCGAAAGCGCCCTCGGCTGTGGGGGGTGAAGCCGGGACGGGGGCGGACGAATGTGGGGAGGGACTGTGGGGAGGCATTGGTGCGGCGATCGAGGGGCGTGCGATCCGGCGTTCACGAGTGGTTTTGACCCGCTTGCGCCTCGCCGCAGGATCTTCGAGGCCTCGGAGTCGGACCTGTCCCCGGGGGGGGAGGGCCGCGGGAGCCTGGGCTACGTCCTGCGGCTACGGGGACTGCCGTATTCGTCGACGCGGGACGACGTGGACAAGTTCTTCGAGGGCGTGGAGATCCAGAAGGGCGAGGAGGGCGTGGTGTTCTCGTGCACGGCGTCCGGGCGGCCCACGGGGGAGGCGTACGTCGAGTTCGCGAGCGAGGAGGCACAGCTGGAGGCGATGAAGCGGCACAAGGAGCACATGGGCAGCCGCTACGTGGAGCTGTTCAAGAGCACCAAGGCGGACCTGCTGCAGGCGCTGGAGCAGAACAGGTTCTACCAGCGGGAGGCGGAGAAGCGGCGCTGGCTGGCGGCCAACATGCCGTCGCTGGGCCACGGGCCGATCGGGGAGGCGGCCGGGCTGCCGCGGGGATCGCCGTACGCCGGGGGAGTGGACGACGTGGCGCGGATGTTCGAAGGTGGGGGAGTGCGCGAAGGCAGACCGGGATTCTGATTTTCGTTAAGGCCTGAAGGAGATGGGGGGGGGGTGCTGGGGCGGCCGGCGGCGATCGAGGTGGCGCGAGCGACGGTTCCGGACGTCACGTGCATGGTACCGGCGGCCTGTGGAATGGGGCGGTGCCACCCGCGCTGGGGGTTCTGTCAATCGGAGGATTCGCGCAGGGACGGTTTGTGTGGGCGGGTTGTGAATGGGTGGACGCCCGGGCGTTGTTGCCGTGGATCGCTGATGGCCTTTTGCAGCGTCACACTTTTGGTGGGTAGGTGGACGGTGAGCGCGTGGGCAAGATGGCGCTGTTGACAATCTAGTTTCAGAAGCACGAAGCTTCTGAAACTAGGAGCTGAAGCTGAGGCTGAAGCTTCTGGTGCGTCTCCGTCCTGTTTTTCTGGAAGTCTATGAGAGGCCAGTGGGAGTAGACATGGTGCGTTAACGACTGCCTTGCTTTGTGCATTGCGCCGCAGGTTTCAGCCTGGGTCCTCAGCCAGGTGTTCAGGTAACACCACAGTCTGGGAGGAGTGGGGAGCCCTCGGTCTCTGGCATGCCTTATGGGCATTTCCAGGCACACCATGAGGCTCGGGGGCCCCAGGAGTCACAGCAATATGTGGTGGGCTCACACTGCTTGAGCAAATCCGCCGCTGTGGGCTGCACAACGAAGCAGCCCTTATTGCTGTGCCTGTCTGCTTGTGGTCTCCCCTGTTGAGGGGATGTCCCAAAAGAATCCCAAGGGTGTTGCTCACATTGTGTTTCCTCTGTTTCCCTGCTTCGCATGGCAACTGATATTCCCGTAGCTCTCAATGCAAAGAAAGCTGCAAGTCCTTTTGCTGGTTTGCAAATTGAGTGTCCTGTTGCCCCAGTTGTTATAATGGTGACCAGGTTCTCTGTGTGCATGCATGGCTTGGGCTCAGTTGTGTGGTCTGTGCTTGTGACAGGCTCCACACACTATGCAGCCAGGCCAGCCAAATGTGCAGGCAATGCCTCCTGACGTCCTCCTCATGCAGCAGCAGTATATCATGCAGCAGCAGATGATGCAGCAACAGCAACAGCAGCATCAGATTGTAGGTGTTGTCACCCCAGTGCAGGTGCCTGACCAGCTTCACTGTCCCGCGGATGCCGGATTTGCCACCTCTTTGAAACTCAACTCTGCCTGGATACCACCACCACCCCCAGAAGAGTATCTCTTCCTATCTACAGACACAAACCCCCAGATGGGTGTCGAACTACGCAGTGAAAATCATATCAACAACCTGGCAGCATTGCCAAGCAACAGCCCACCGGGTCTCTCCACAGATATTGGAGGGATCAGTAACGATGTGTGGTCCGTGGCCCTCTCGGACGATCCCGGAATCACAGGCACCACTGGGGATGAAGAGTCGATCAACAACAGAATGTTCCCAAGCCTGAAAGACAGCATCTGGTCTTGGGATATGTGGGGGTCAGGGTCAGGGGAGGGTGGCTCAGAGTGTAGGACCTGAGCTCTGCATCATCAACTGGATGTGGGATGTTTGCAGGAGCGGGCAGGCGGGTGCGTACAAGCACACATGGGCGGCATCCACGTGCTGCCATGGGGAGCGTGGGTGGGGTATAGAATGGACACAACACAGTGTGATCACGTACATGTTTTGGGTCAGGTGTCACTGGTGTGTAGTGTCCAAATCTTTTTGTGGGAGTCAGTAAGAGTTGTGCAGGGGGCGGTGAGCAGGTGCTGGGATCCAACAGGGCTATGTGGATAACTCCTTAGAGGAATCTTGCACAGGAGTGCTGGGGAAGCGTGGGGGTGTACTGACACAGCAACCACTGCTGTTGCGATCGCACCTAACTGAACCAAATCTGACAGCCAACTATCCAACGTATTTTTGCCAGTGGTCAGTAGGCTGCCTGGTGGCCAGCCACAAAAACGGGGACATTGGGGAAAGAAAGCGCTTTCTGCAATGTTGGCACTTGAGACCGTAATTGTTTTGAGCTCATATGAGTTGATTCTCGATGTTCGCTGCTGTTCGTTTGGATTTTAATGGCCCATCCAGGGTTCTATACATTGTTCTTCACTGTTCATTTCTCTGATTGCATACGTGGGTTTTGCTGACAGTGTTGTCTGTTGCTGATTTGTGTTTCACCCTGCTGCGATCCCTGCCCCATCCCAGTGTGCTGGTGTGAGAGGGTGACACATAGGGCAGCATCAGACCCAATAAAATGTTGGTCCAGTAATGCTCTACTAATCACCTAACCTTGTACCGACCCTCAGCGAGTGAGCCAACAAATGCTGTCAAAAATTGCCCAAAATCATGGCAGCAGTTTTCTGCACAATGCATTGCAACTGTCTCCAGCTCTGTGCACTCATCTTGTTCATGCCTTTGCTACTTTTTCTCTACCTGACAGAGTCATGTGGTATGTGCGACAGTCGTTGCGGTACCCTGGTCAGGTCGGTTGGGGCAATGTGGGCATCGATGTCCCTCCACACAGTGCGATGCCAACTGCAGGCAACGCCCAAGCCCCCTATGCTGCCTATCCTGGGCTATCCACACCTGGCATACCCATGGGGTCAAGGGGGGGTTTCCCTTCTGGACCCTTTGGTTATCATCAGTACGCCACAGGCCCCATGGCCTCATCCTCTGCATCGTTGCCTTCTCCTGCACATGCTTCCATGGAAGGAGAGGGGCCCCAGGAGAGCAACGTGGAGATTTCTGCTGGTGGGGCTTCTGCTGGGGAGGGCAACGGGGGTGACAGCGGCCTTGGGGATCTCCAGGGCTGATTGGCATTTACTGTGCTGTCCTGAATAGGCAGCAGATGGATGCTTTGCCAATGGACGCTGCTGGGCGCCTGGTGATGCTTGGATAACTGGGCAGGACGATGTGCAGCGCTGCAGCGGTGGCAACCAGCTTGCAGGGCATGGCTTGTGATTTTGCTTGTGTGTGGAGGAGCAGCCGACGGTGGGCGTGTCTTTGCACGTCCAACACTGAGGGACACTTGATTTATTTGCTGGTGGTATTTGATTGCATGGATGGGGAATGTATGTGGATGGCGGCTTTTTGTTGGTGGTTCCAAGGGAGGGATTGTGGGCACTGGTCAGGTATTTCCAATGCCCCACGTTGGGATCACTCGCTGGACTGGCGATCTGCAGTGTACTGGGGACTGCTGAGGCGTGGACTCCACGCAATGGAGCCTTGTTGGCCTTCTGGCTGGGCTGGCTGCCATCGCTTGAGGTGCAAAGGTTTGGGTTTGTGCTGCGTGCTGGATGCCCAGCCTTATCCCATCACCTTGTCAGAACACCAGCATTGTGGTCGATGTCGTCGATCCTTGCTTCTCGTGGCTTTGAAGATCCAATGCTCTACTCTGTTTATCTTGTGCTCTGTGGGAGCTTCTGTCCGGCAGTAGATGAGTGCTTTTGTGTCGCATTTGTTCAAGGATACGATTTGTTAGCGCGTATTGTACTTGTCATGTGCTAGAGAGCTGTCACTTGTCGGAGGCCTGAGGTTGCAGTGATTGATGAGAGGTCCCTTTTGGGATCTGATTTAGCGGACAGCCAGATGCACTTGATCAGTTTCACGATGCTGGAAGGGGAGTCGGGAAGATTGGACAGAGCTTGGGCCTGAATGTTGTTGTGTGCATGTGCTTGCAGTGCCAGCATAGATGGTCAATTGAACTTAAGGCTGGCACGTTAAGGGACTTTGGCATTAGTGCACCAGGGGCTGTTGCATTAGTGGCATCGTTGTGCGGGGTGAGGGTGGGATTGTTAAGTATCGATGTGCAGTAAAGGGCCTGGCTGATGGGTCACTAATGCACCACAAGCATGAAATAGTTGGCCTCCGCTGGAAAGGCGCCTCCCGGACACGTCGTGTTGATTGGCATGAATAAAGGAAGGAAGGACACGAATGTGGTGCTTGGCTATTATGCTGCAGGCAAGTGCAGCTGCAGGAAGTTGCTGTGCGCCATTTTTCCTGGCGCGCGTGTGTGTGTGGATTGGCAGCACAGAGGCTGGACACGGAAATGGGCGTGGGTCAAGACGTTGTGCTGGAGCAGCTGCCTGCTCAAGATGGGCATGTTGTTCGGTGATAGCGATGAGCAGGAACAGGGCTTCTCTACATTGCCATGGCCGTGCATCGGCAGAATGCTGCCATGAGCTTTCATGTATGTTTTGGGGGATGAGAAAATCAGAGGTGTGCACAATGTACCACAACTTGGGGAGCTTGATCTCCTTGTCCCTCAGGCATTTGTAGATTAAAACAAAGAGAACGCAGTGTGGGTGGGATTTTTGAATGCGCTGTTGTGCATAATTCTTTAGGTTAAGACCCATGACGTCCCCCCTCTGTGTGCTTCACAGACCCTACCCTGAACACAAGTGTTGGGAATCCTTTTTTTGACTCTGGGCTCAAGCGGGGCAACCGCTGCACCTGGACCTGAGAAAACAAGAGCAGAACAGTGTGGACAGGAATCTGGGTGTGGCGAGTTTGGGATTTGCCGGCGCGCACGCTGGGTGGACACACTGCGGGTGGGTGTCTGTACCTTGCTTGCTATCAGATTCGGAATTGGGGCTCAAGGGTGCTGCATCAGGATGTGTTGTTTGGTCGCGAGCAGGCTCTGTCTTGTTGCTCCATGATGGTCAAGCTTTCACTGTTCAGTTGAAGCGTGCTCTGCAGTGCTGCCTGGCTGGATCCAATGCCCTTGTTGGTCTTCCATAGGCCTCCCAGAAGTGCAGAGGAACAGTGTGGAAACGGTTGTGGCAACAGTGACGCCCAGTGCGTCGATCTTCAACGAGAGGATGAGTCCATGGTGGTCTGCATCGCCCACTGTTAGTCGGCATACGGGCTGCCCAGTTGCTGGTGGTGCTGGTGGTGGTGGGGCATTGGGGGGGGGGGTGGGGTTGGGGGTTGGGGGGGGGGCTTCCGGGTTGGGGGGGGGGGCTTCCGGGTTGGGGGCCAAGAGGCCCTGGAGGCTTTTGCAGATGGATGCAAAGTGCGAAGTACGCATAAGAAAGGGTGTAACACAAGATTAGACGGATTTGGGCTGATGGGGGAGGGATCATTCCCCCGTCTGTTGGTGCTTTTCGATTTGGAGGTGGGACGCAGGACGGGGACGTGACGGGAGTTGGGTTGTTTTTTGAGCTCCTGGCAGAGGGAACCAAGGAATAACGTGTGATGGGATGCATCTCACCGCTTGGATGTGTGTATGTGACGTAATCTGCCGAACTTGGGAGTGAGCGTTAGCAACTAGACGACCGCTGGGAACGTCAGTGGGACTGTGCAGTTGGCATGTCGATCGCGATGCATGCTGTGTGTTGGATGTAGGTGCACGGGCTGTGGCATGTTGTCCAACAGCCAGCCTCCGTTCTGTCGGCTGCTGTGGGGACTCCAGCCTCAGACTTCATGTGCTGCGAGCATAGCGCCCTCGGACGGTGATTGAGCGCCAGTGAGGGAACTCCAAAGACAGGCAAACAGTCTTTTGGAATCGCTCTTTTAAAAGTATGTCACTTTCATCTGGCCGCCTGACCCGCTGGCGCCATGGCTGACGTGGCAAGGAGCGTTGGATGAACTGTGGTGTGTGGTCCGTGCTGCTGTGCTTGCCAGCAACGTGAAATGGACGTTAAGTGAGAACGTGAGGTGGCGGGAGGCTAGTTCCGTTGTCAGAGTGTGTGTTCAAAAGGCGAAGTGGAGCCGTTGCACCTTGCAGGGGCCTAGCGAACGAGGTATTTCAATTGAGTCAACCCCATTCCGCCCACCTACCATCCCTCACCTGCTCAAGATCGTCAAGGTGCTATTGCCCGGCGTCTTGCACGCGCCTCAGCTGGATGAGGCACATGAAATCACACGGATCTTCTTGAAAGTGAGTCCGTTGCTTGGGGCCATATCTGTGATTGCTGCGCGGAGACCGCATGGCCGTTGCTTTCGTTGGCAAGACATCAGGCATTCGGAAACAGAGCCCCTGGCAATGGGCAACAACAACAACAGTCTGGATAATCTATAACACATCGAGATCCACGTGCCCGTTGTGTTGTTGTCGAACCATCTTGCCACTTCAGACACCTGAAGTGGCAGATGACCCTGCCAAGGGATCGAGTGCCCCGGTTCGCGACTGAGCCGCGAAGCTCGCATTACTAATCACTTATGTGTGACAGATCGCCTCATCCTCGATGAGGGGAACAAAATCGCCCTGGTGTCTCCCCAGAAAGAAGGCTTATTGTCTGGCAGCTATTCTACAAGCACCTGAAGGGGCGCAACGCAGGTGTATCAACGCAAAAGAAAAAAGTGTGTGCCAGTTCCTTGGGGCATATGCGCGGCCTTTGCAAGTGATTCAATGTCGTCGCAACCGTTTCAACAGTCATTGCAGCCCATCATTAGAAACACTATCTCTAGGATTTTTCCCGACGGTCTCGCTGCGAGGTTCCCCTGCTGGTTGTCGAACAGCAAAAACACCAGGAAAGTTATCCTGTATATACGATTTTACGGACACCAGGCTACATGATGAAAGTCGCGCACAATGATCAGCCGTCCGCCCCCTGGAGTATACGGAATATGGCGTCCATCTTGCTCTTGGTAGGGCCAACGACGTCGTTGAACAAAAGTTCGACTTCTGCCCACTCCAGCGCGTCTTTCTGCCACTCCCCGGACCTCGTAAATCTGTATGTACTGTCTTTATGCATAGGGGGCTAGCCGTGTTTACTGATCGTATCCACTTTTTGACGTAATTAGGCCTTCTTGAAGGAAACGCCGTTGATGCAATCCCAACGGCTCCGTTTGGAGTGCACACGGGAAGCGCGAATCCACGATCGCCGATGCTTCAACGGCCTTGGCACAAGGCCAGACGCAAGGTCCCACAACACACAACACGCCCGGGGCTTACATATTCGTTCACCCTTCCCACAGCTAAGAGCCTTGCCGACGGTGGCAACGACCCCCGCAACTGAACCGTTCGAATTTTCTTGCACCCACAGAACTTTCCTTTTCATGTGACAAGGACCATCATCCATCATCAACCAGCCATACCGCACTTCAGACTCTGAAGTTCAAAGATGCCCATTCATCACCACAGTGCAACCCACTTCATAAAACATATATCAAAGGTGCCCATACACACAGTGGTAATGTACACATATGTACAAGTCGCACACCATAATGCATAAGTGATCCACCTAGTGAAACGGTGGTCATTATGCGGTGTTGCGCATAGCCTGAAGTTACGTTTCTGCCTTACCGGTCTCCTTCAACCCCCCCCGTGTTCCCCACACGACAATACATTACAACACATAGTTGGGTGTCCATCACCTCACTAAACAACAGTAACCCAATTGGCGACCCACTTGAAAGTGCCCTCGCTTCGCATAGTACTTAATGCCACACTGATGGTGACTCATCCCAGAGTCAGTCCCCCTCCTCTCGTACTCAGCTCCCTCTCCATCCCACAGCTAAACCGAACTCACACTATTAGGGTGGGCCGGGCGGGTGCGAAACAAGATAAGGGGGGCGCCACGGGTTGCGCCTAAAATAGCCGCTCCCACTTGCCGCCAAACTCCCCGCCAAACCCAAGGGCCAGCTTGACCGGTCCCCTTGGCTGCGCCCAAGGTACAAGGATCCACTCCACCGCCCTTGGGTGCGTCGGGCAGCACTGACCCCGAGTACAGGGGTGACAGAAACCGGCTGATGGATGGTCCAAACTGTCCCAAAGGGCGGAACGGCCTGACCCGGCCGTTGCGCGCCCACCCAATCGTCGTCCTAGGCAGAAACTCATTAACAGGATAGTTAATTCTATTTCTGCCTTACCGGTCTCCTTCAACCCCCCCCGTGTTCCCCACACGACAATACATTACAACACACAGTTGGGTGTCCATCACCTCACTAAACAACAGTAACCCAATTGGCGACCCACTTGAAAGTGCCCATTCACCCTGGGGCACGGTGCAGCTCCTCGGGAGCGAAGGCGTGGTCATGCCTTGGTCACACTCGGGCCGATGACGCCCCTCCGGGGCAAAATAAGTGCCCGTACTGGGCGTGAAGGTCGCGCGCCGTAATCGTCATCCAACCAAAGAGCCGGTAGTCCCACTCGGACGGTAGCCGGTACACATCGATGTACTTCCAGATGACGTTACTCCGCCACTCTCCCCACGCGCGGATGCGCCCCTCCGGCACCTCCAGCGAGTAGCAAGCGCTGGCGCCACCCGCCCGAAGACCGTGATGGTCGAAGGGGTCGGGCGGCGGGGAGGGGAGAGCGCGTAGGAGGTCGGGGAACCAGCCGGAGACGGTCGGCGCAGACGGATCGGGCTCCCCCGGCAAGGTATAGAAATGGCGCGGGGAGGCGCCGGCATCCGCCCACGCCTTATCGCGGGCCGCAGACCAACGAAGAAAAAGGTCCACCACCGCGGGCGCGCCGCTGGAAGGCCAGGAGCGGCAGCGCACCTTCGGGTCGGTGGAAGCGCTGAGCTTGGTCCGCCGTTCGCGAAAAACCAGGAGGCCAT